GCCTTTGATTACAAAAGCGATTCACGGACATCGGAGAAAAATTGGGTATTTTAGAAATATGTAAGTAAAGAAGAAATTGATAAATTTACTTATAAGATCATTACCCAGAGAGAGCCCTTGAAAACATTTTGGAAATTTTCCTTTAATATTTTTCTCTATATATGCATATGCATGCTACATTTTTATGAAATTGGTATACTATGAGGACAGCTAGTATTTCTTTTTGTTGGTTTTTTCCATAGAATTAAGAGTTCTTTACAATAACGCTGTAAAAACATTCCATGCCCTTCACTCCTGCCCCTTTGACCACAGCAGGCCTTAACTAGCCCTCCTCTCCCCTGTCCCTGTTGTTCCCCCAGGCCTGGGCTCCCAAACACTGCCGTGTGACATGTGAGAGACTCCTCGGGGCCTCCATGTTTCTTGTGTTAAATGCTCCCACAAAAGTTTATGGTTCCCACAGTTTGCTTTGATGGCTTTTAAAAATCACTTTTCTGCTGCCTTCTCAGACTGTACCCGAGGGCAGGAGAACAGGGCAGTACTTCACCACAGGTAAGAGCACAGTTTTTGGAGTCAGGCAGACCTGGCTTGCACCGTGCTTTCCCTCTTCCTAGTTGTGTGACCATGGATGAGTTACTTATCTATCTCATCTATTCAGCAGGATTGTTGTGAGCAATTAGGACAGGATGGCTCTCCAGAGTGCAGCCTCGTGCCTGCATGCATGGAGCAAAAGCTAGCAGCCAGGTGGTGGAGGCTGTCTTGGGCATCACTGTGGCTTCTGGAATTGATGTACTGGTGAACACTGGGGTTTCTCCACTCATGGCATTGTGTTCCCACACCTTAGAAGATGGTCATATGAACGGGCTTATAGTTGTCACACTTTGCAGAAGACAGTACTAAGTAGGTTTTCATGTTAATTCCAACTGTCACAAAGCGTCAATTCCCCGTTTTACTGCAGCATCATCCCTTGGTTGGAGTTCCTCAAATTCTCTCCCCTTTGCCATACTGTGAAGGGGTTCAGGCCACATCCCTTCCCCACAGTGAGACCTGGGCTTTAGAGGCACAGGTGCACTGTCCACAGATGCCACCCAGGAGTGGAAGGTTCTGAGAAGCCTGACCCCTGTACTTATGAGAAATGCAAAACGCACAGTGAAAGAATCCTAGATCTGGTCAAACAGAGAGAAGGGCTGCTGGCAGGCATGTCCCACACTGCTGTCGGCAGCTCAACACAGGTGTGTGACCCTCCACGTCACACATCTGCTTAAATGGCGGCCAGCCACGTGCTGACCAGAGTTTCTCCTGTTGGACAGACAGCAGCATGTCCCTGGGAAAAGGGCATGGGGTCTGAGGTCAGGAGATGTAGGGTTTTTAGCTCTGGGACCGTGGGCAGGTGAGCTAACCCCTGACTCCCACATTAAGCAGGAGAAAGAGGAATATCTGCCCCCAGAGATGCTAGCAAGACTGAACGCAAAGGGTCTGCAAACTGCCCCTCAGAAGGCGGGCACTGCACACATCAACTGCTGTCCCTTGATCCTGAAGAATCTAAAACAAGGTCTGGGTTCTGTCTAAGGGGACTTCATGAAAAAAGTGATGATGGCTTTTTTTTTCTTACTAATAATTTTCAAAAAGACATTGAGTCTTGCTTACTAGAATTAAGTGGGGTTAAAAGGCTCTCTCTCTTCGGAGATCATCTTTTCCACTCATCTCATTTTCCAGAAGAGGAAACTGAGGCCTGAGTTCACACAAAGAAGAGAGCATTGGTCCAAAGATTGGAGGGAAATAAGGTGAATACCAGTTACAATCCTTTGTCCTGGAAACCCAGGAGTTATACCACAAAGAAAAGGGAGAAAGAAATCAAGAATTTTCAGAGCCAATGTAAATCAACTCATTTCTCTTTTGGCCTTTTCTTGGTGTTTCAGAAGCAATTATGTCTCTTGGATCCTCTCTCCCACCTCCAGCCACTGCATAAAACTGTCACAGATTAAATCAGATTGTTCAGCCCCCTCACTGGGGAGACACCAGTTCTCATTCTCTGGGGGCATTTTCACTCATTCAAATAATAGCCTCTTTCGGATGAGTTAACTCCTTCTTCGAGACTATAGCAAGCCAGTGAGCAGACCACTAAGGCTCTGCTGAGTCCTGATGGTTTTTCTTTGTGGGGTTACAGCCCAGACATACCTGCTGCTCTCACCAAGACTGAACTCCGACTAGTGAGACAGAAGAGGCCAGGGTGCGAGAAACAGGGGTGGCAGGGGGGACAGATGAGAAAAACCCATGCTCCCAGGATTGACTAGACCTTTCTCATCTCGTAACCCTGAGTATGTTGCTTTTCTCGGATGGACCTCGGCTTTCCCATGTGAAAATGTACGTTTCAAGTCTTTTTTTTTTTTTTTTTCTTTCTGTACTGGATTCCAGGAATCCCCACAAAATAGCACGTGAATGCTTGAGAAGAACCATAAAACTGTTGGGAGAAGAGAGCATGTTAGAATTCACTTTGATGGAGAACAAAGTCTTTTCCAGACTAGTTTTCTGGAAGAGTTGTGATGTAAGGAAGGGGAGATGCCAGATACTGTGGCTGGAGCCTGCTGCTTGGAAATGATTTAGGGGGAGAGAAGGGAGAGGGAAAGGGAACCCAGGGCATCTGAAGGGGTGGAACTATGGGGACGGGGCTCAAGGCACAATCTGCTGGGTGTTTAGTGATGCTTGACACCAAGTGTCAGGCTGAGAGGAGTAAAGGGAGGAAGTCAAATGAGTCGTGTGCTATAGCATGGGGACTCCAGAGATGGGGAGGTGGGGATGCCAGCACACGCATTGGTCCAGAGTTATCTGCAGGCTGAGAGCTGTCTCCAGAAGACAGATGTCCTCAGTGGTGGCACACAGAGAGGCTGAGAGATTGGGGCAGCTGGTGGCTTCCAGGAAGCACTAGGAGTGGGACAGAGGTGGTGGGAAGCTTGCATGGCATGACCTGTGCATGTCACATGTGTGTTCCTGAGGCCTGTGTGGGATAGCCTGTGGATGTCACACACATGTTTTATGCAGGGCTACGAGCTCCTCAGAGTTGAGAAGGCTACTTGGTTTGCTTCTTTCCTGGAAATGTCTAAGGCAGGGCCTCGGAGGCAGTATACACCTCTGTTAGGTCAGTGGGATCGTGGTCCCTCTTCCCTGAGCCAGCATGGGGTAGATGCCTGGAACTGTCTGCAGGCCTGAAGGGAATGTGGCTGCCAGGTGTTCCACCTGTCCTGTTTTTAAGCATGCTTTTCGAACATATTTTTTCTTGAGCACAATCGCCAGGCTAGGGTTGGAGGCACACCCGACTCATCCCTGCCCTCCTGGAGTTAGGGAGATACTGCTAAACCTGCCTCGCTGGCAAAAAGGGCCCTGCCAGCCAAAGGTGCCCCCTTGGCTGTATTTGTGCAGAGGGTAGGGATGAGAGTGGAGAAGGAAGGGCCCAAGCTTCACATTTGCAAAGACCTCACCCTTTCCGGTCACAAAGACAGACAGGCTCTGAAGAAGAGGGATACATGCTGAATTTTAAAAGTGTGGCCTGTTTTAGCCTCATCTTCTGTGGCACACTATGAGTTTATAGTTTTTGCAAGCCTTGTAATTATCTTGGGAATATTACGATATATTAACTTGAGTTATAAATAAGTTGTTCATGTAAGTGTTTAGAATATACACATTTTTCAAAAACACTCATTTTGGTCTTCCTTTTTTCTTAATATACTAGAAATCCCACATCACGCCACCCCTCCCCCAAATTAGGAAGTGGTGCAGATCTCCCTCAACCTTTGACAGCATAGTTCTTTCCAGAGCCTATATACGTAGGGCATAAAGACAGGGTTCAAGGCCAGGGTGGGAGTTAGACTGGCTGACTTTTTGACCCTTCCAAACTCATTAGGCTTTGATCCTAAGTCATAGACACAGAATAGGCGGAGTGTAAGTTTCCTGTTGGGTTAAACACCAGCTGGGGACCCTGCCCCGTCTCTTCTCTTTGTCCCTACAAGGCAGGAATAGCTCTATTTATGGCCTCTTCCCTGTGCTTCAACAATCCTGGGAGAAGGCAGCTCCTCTGAGACTCTTTTCTGTAATCATCCATGTCCTTTTCCAAAACACTTGGATGAGGACCCAGAATTTGAACATTATTGAGGACGATCAGGAAACAGATTGTAAATGGCAATAACTGCCATGTACTTTATGTCAAGCCATGTTCTAAGTGCTTCACATGCTTTATCTCAGTTAATTTTGTAGCCACGACCCAATGCTCTTCTATTATTATCTCCAAAACAGGCAGGAAAAGGTTAAGAACTTGCCCAAGGTCACCGAGCTTTTATGTGCACAGCCAGAATTCACACTTGCGTGGTCACCCTGGCAATCATCACGGAGCAAACTGGAGGTTTAGCATCAGCTGTTCAAATCCCAGCACCACTGTTACTTGCCATGTGACCTTGGACAAGTCACTCACCCTCTCTGAGACTGTTTCCTTCACTGCAAAATGGGCTTAGGGGTGAAGGGATCAAAAGTAACAGTCAATGCAAAAGTGCCTTAGCAGAATGTAAGCACGCCACAAGTACACAGTATTGTTATGAAGTTTTCCTTCTTACTCCTTTGTTAAATAAAGCATGTTGAAAAACTCAAACAAATGAAAAATGTAGAAACAGAAGGCACTCTCTCCTCAGACCCCTGGGGTCTGAGGCCACCAACTCCCGGGTGCCTGGGAGTTGAGGCAGAGGGCTTGGGGGGCAGGTACCCATGAGCCACGTGAAACATGCTCAACTTCTCGCACAAACACTGTGAGGGCTCCTCTCTGTCCCCAGCTAGGGTGCGGAGGAATGGAAACTTTTACCACCTACAGCATTTGCTAGCAACTTCCCTCTATGTGGTTTTTCTCTGTCATTCCCTTGATAAAAGAACCCGAGCTGCAAATGTAACCAACATTCACGAATCTCATCTTCCGATGAAAACAGCTGCCTTTCAAGAAGCAGGCTGCCTGAAAATGATGCACAATGCACTCTAAACTGGGTCACTCTCCACTCGGAGGGCTCGGGGCGCGGCTCACTTTCCGTGTGTGTCTCCTGTGCCGTAGGCTTCGAGCGTCTCCAGCAGCCCAGGGAGAGAAAGAGATGGGAAACAGCATGAAATCCAGCCCTGCACCCCCTGAGAGGCCTCTGCCCAGCCCAGACGGTAAGTCTGATTTTTCTGGTAAGGTGCGTGACTTTGTCCTGTAGGAGCCCATGCGAAGACTGGGCAACGGTGGATTCTGATAATTGTTGAAACAGGGCAGTGGGTACTGAGGGGCTCATTGTACTCACCCCTCTAGCTTAGTTTGCAGTTAAAATATTTCACAATCAAAAGTTTAAAAGGATTGGGTGCTTAGCGTCTGTGAAGGGTGCTAAATGGTAGGCATTTTGAGATGGGTGTCTGATTCCAAAACCTAGACTCTTGCTTCTCGTACCTGCCAGGCCACCACAGAGCATTATTATCCCTTTAGTTAGTGCCCCAACTAGCTTTCCTGGTGTTACTTTGCTAGGCTAGACACTATCCCTATGATGTCTTCCTGAAAATAAAGGAATTCTTGTGTTCCATTGGTGGATTACAAAATGCCAAGCATTCTGGGTGAGAGTCCAGTGTTACAAGTTAATCAATGATGACAAAAGTTAGTTCTCTGAAGAGATGCCAAGTCAGGCCAGACTCCCAAATCTACAAAGAGGCCTTCAGCAACTGGCCAGAGAACTGGGTGGGAGCATCAGAGCAGAAGGCAAAGTCTGGAAGTAAAATCCACTGTGGTCCGGGCTCAGCTGTGCTGTCACTCCTAGAGCCCTTGCCTTTATTTCCACAGATTCCTAGTCTTGGTGATGAGGGGCACACTGCGTGGGTCCTTTGTTGGGGGTGGGAGGGGCCAGTCAGGAAGACCAGGTGTCCATCAGTGTCACAGGGTGTCATGAGGGGGGCCTTGGGACACTTCCACCTCCCACCGTGTGTTGTAGCACCCAGGGCCTGGTGTCCCATCTCCTAGCAGGGGTGACCACACCTGATTCCCCTCACCTCCACAGCACTGTCCTGGGCAGAGTTTAAAGAGCAGAAATGGGTACCTGCCTGGGAGCCCGGCTCCTGCCCTGCCTCCCACTACTGTTTATCCCATGTCTTCTGTGGCCCCTGCACAAAGGAGCCTTCTCACGTCTTCCAAATGCAGATGCTCAGCTCATGCCGTCCCTTCAGATGCCTCCAAGTGAGTGTGCGGAGACCCTGCCACCCCACTCCTCCTTCAAGACAGATGCAGGGCAATTCTAGTGGGTTTATTTTTCTAGCCCAGTAAGTCTCCTCCCCAAACCAAAGGGGGGAAAAACAAGAACAATGTTCCCAAGGATCGAGGGGACGGAACCACTGAGATGATGGAGCTGACTATGTGCCCGCACTCCTCAGAAGAGGGGCCTCTACCTCTCATGCGAAGCTCAGAACTTGTACACTTGTGCAGAGTGTCTTTGCCTGCTGCTACTGCCAGGAGAAGGTGGGCTCCCTCCCCAACTTCTCCAAACTGGCTCAGGTCATGGGCTCCTCCTCCCGTCATAACCACTGCTAAAAAACAGACATTGCAATGCCGGGGGGCCTGGCCCACTGAACCCATCTTGGCACCTCTCAGCCTGGGGCACAGGGGCACACATGCTTGAGCAAACCTCATGAAAACATCAGCCTCCAAGGACTTGCTCATTTGCCTTTATTTTTTAAATGCAAATCATCATGAAAGAAATTTCTCTTTTTCCATTGTGTGGGTGGGATGTCACCTCTAAAAAGGAGGTGGAGGGGTCTCCCCACCCCTCCACCCCCTGGTTAAGAGAAGTCCCCAGGTCATACCCAGTTTGTGATCTAGGCAACCACATCAAGCACTGGTGGGTTGCTTTCCACCCCCCACCCTTGAAAAGTTTCCCTTATCATCGGTCCTGACTTTATTTCCTCTTTTCTCTTATACCTTCTTGAACAAGAGAGGGGAGGGCAGTGCAGTCAGTGCTGCATTAATTAGTCCCTACCTGCATGATGCAAAGGGTTAGGGTTTTCATGGAATGAGCACCTACTCAGCTAGCACTCCCCATGGACACTTATTAGGTTAGTCTCAGATGCCTGGGGGGTGGTGCAGGTTTTGTTGATTGCTTTAGGTCAATGTGAATTACAGCTTCCTCTGCTATTGGACAGAGCGGCAGAGTTAAAGGCACCAAAGCCCCCTGGCTAGGCACAGGGATCAGCAGGAGGCCAACCTGTAGACTTTTAGACAAGCAAGTTTTCTGAGCTTTTGGGGGATCGTCTTCCGGCACACCAGGACTGTGAATGCCCTAGACTATGGCTTTGCCCATCTGTTGTCTCCTAAACTAAGCTTTTCAAAACATTCCTGATTGGTTCCCAGGACTAATGTTACAAAACCCACAGAAGCAGCAGGACTTGATGGAAATAGGGTAAGTTTTAGTGGCAAAAGGACCTGATTGGGCTTCAGGTAATGTCTCTTGGAGGCTATGTAACCTTAGGTAAGTCACTCAGCCTCACCCAGGGACCAGCTGTAAAATGGTGATCAAACAATTCCTCCCTCACAGAGATAACAGATAACACATCATTATCTGTTACTGTGCTGATAACACAAGAGAGCTATCTGATAAGTGAGGGTGATAAATGAGGGTGTGAAAACTTTTTAAAACTCCATTTGGTGTTATCTGACTATACTGGGCTGTATCTAAAAGGCCGGTTCTCCAAAAGTTTTCAAGTGGAAGAATTAGCAATTCCATGATTTGTTTTCAAATCATCCCAAAAAGCTAATTTTCTCTACGATTCTATCCAGACTTCAGTCTCTCTTCTGTGCCAGACATGGGCAGTTCAGAATTGAATAAGACCAAGGGAACTCCTAGTGTAGAAATGAAACAGCCTATTTCCACATTAACAAGAGAGTTCAGTCACTTGCTGAGATCTTTTCTCCTCTTGTTTCTTCCCATCTTATTGCACTGATGTGAAGTGAGATCTCACAGAGAGGTGGCAAAGTAAACCCAAAGGCTGTTCAGAGTCCTCCCACATGTGCCAGGGTAGAAACGACACCGGGCAAGGCATTTACATAGCTGCCCTGGTGGAAAGACGGAGGTGGGTGGGGTCCTGGGGAGGAAGAAGGGGTCAGGGAAATCTCTAGTCCACGCTTGGTGCTTCTCAGGGAGTGGTCCTCAGACCACCTGCATCAGATTCCCCTGGGAAGTAGTTAAAATGCTGATTCCCGGGCCCCACCCCAGACCTACTCATCAGAACCCAGTGATGGTGGGGGTGGCAGAAAGCTGAATTTCTTACAAGTCCCCTGCTAAAGCTTGCAGACCACAGAGCAGCTTAGTCCTGCCTCAGCACCACCATGTGCCAAGATGAGAGAAGTGAGCTTATCCTCAGTGTCTCTCTGTTCTTACTTGTAAAACAGAAATAATGACAGAGTTACGTGGTCCTCGAAGTGTGCCAGACACAGTTCCAAATGCTTTATACACATGAACTCTTAATTCTCACAACAGCCCTACGAGGTAATCACTATTATCACCACCATTTTGTAGTTGAGGAAATTGAGGCACAGGGAAGTTAAATTACTTGCCTGAGGCCATGCAGCTCAGAAGGGGACAACTGGGATTTAAAGCCAGGTGGCCTGAGTCTAGAGTCCCCCTCTTTACCACCACAGTATTTGCCTGGAGAGGACAGGCTTTCAAGAATTCAGCATATTCTGAGAGAGGATGGGCATTCCCGGCCCTCAGATTTAATGACACAGACACCCAAGTGCCCTGGCAAGGGGTCCCAAAGATGCAAAACCTGTGTCAGATCCTTGACTAGATTCCTGTTTCTTTGGTCTTACTCCAACTGTAGCTGCTGGCAAACGAGACGGTTTTAAGTGGAAAATGACCATTCAACTTTTATGTCATTAAATGTTTAATGAATATCATAAAAAAATATATAACTAGCCCATCAAATCCACGATTTTACAGTTCAGAATGGGACTGCAGTTTTGTTTTTTTTAAGTTAATAAATATTAACAAAAAAAATGACTAAGTAGCTAGTAGCATGGGTGGTACTCAGCCACAACACAGGACAGCTGAGTGGTCCAGAGCATGATCGGCGTGCTCTGCCAAGAGGTGATGCTGTTTTGAAACCCGGCACTCAACTTACTAGTAGTGTGTTCTTGGGCCAGTCTCTGAACCTCACCGTACCCCTATTTCCTCGTATCCAGAATGAGGTAGTTACATTATGTCACTTCTCAGGGAGGTGTGAGGACCAAATGCTAACCTATGCACAGCACGCAGCCCCGTGCCCGGTCGCTGCAGAGTGTGGGCCACGCTGCTGCTGTCCACAAGCGGCCTGCGAAAGAGAGGGGTGGAATGAAGACTACCAGAGTCTGGAAGCCCTGGTGCCCAAGTGAAACAAACTGGCTTGTTTGTTTCGAATTTGTTTCAAATCTGTTGCAACAGATTTGTTTTGACTATTTCTTGCTTCTGCCCTTTGCTAGCTCCATCTGAGTCCCTGTAGCATCTAAGGGTGTGGAGACTGACCCCGACAAGACTTAGTGTCTATTCAATCCCAGTCTGCCCCACTAACAAATGGAGAATCCAAGGTTTGGGGCGGAAAAAAGCTTTCTGGACTACTGGGTCTTCCCCTTCGGCCTGCAGTACAGTCCTTCATGAATAAGTAAGAGGATCCACAGGCGCATGGCTTGTGGTGGCCACTGGTAGACCTTCCATTAGGCCAGCCAGCTCTGCTCCATCTGGTGGGTTAGTTGCGTGTGTGTAGGTGTGTATTTCCTGAAAAAAGAAAGAAAAGGCTGCTTTCACCCCTCAGGAGGCCATGAGTTTGGGCCTGACTCAAGGGAATGCAAAACCAGAACTTGAAATCACTGGGCTGTTTAGCTCTTTGCCCACCAGCTGCACTGAGCTGCTGCACCAACACGGAAGCCCCATGTGGAGTCAGCCTTTGTCTCCCCTGTTAAAGAACAAGTGTTAACTGGTAATCAGGTGCCAAGGAGAGCTATGTGGCTTGGGGAAGTGGCCACGGGTTTTGAAATCTGCATGTTGTCCCTGGGACATATTACCGAAAGTTGTCAGCTTTGGTTTCCTCATCCTTTAAATAAGGATATACATTTTGGAGGGCTGGGTGGAGGCTTGGAGGTAATAATAACTAGTTTTGCTAGACAGTTCTAAATAGGAGCTACTGAACATGTTCTCGGAATTAAAAAAAATAATAAGAGGGTTATTATGCTCCAAGGAAAGATAATGCCAAAAAGGGCCTGTCCTCTTTTGACTAATGTTCGTGGCCAGTAAGTTCTGCCTGGGTCTCCTTCCATTTTTGGACTCGTATTCTATTTCATACTTTTGTATATTTTGTTCAACCTGACTCATTCTTGACTTGAGCTATCCGCAAATATTTGGTCTTTTGAATTTCATCTTCTGTTCTCACCAAATGGAGTTTGTTTTTAGACAATAAGAAGAAAATATTTTCAAATCTAAACTATTAGATAGTTTTCCTAATTTAGAGGAAATTGGTCTTGGAGTATGGAACGGTACCCGCCCCCATGGAAGTGCGATAAGCTGCCACTTACTGAGGCAGGCTCTCTGCACGGGATGCATCATGAATCATTAACCCACCATATGAGGCAGATTTTGATATCTGCCATTTTTATACAGGAAGAAATTAAGCTCAGATTAGTTAAAAATAAATCTCTCCCCAAATCGCAGAGCTATTAAGTGGTGGGGGTGGGATTTAAGCCAGGTCTGATCAGTTTCAAAGCCCATTCTCCTTCCATAAAGCTCTTCTGAAAATTCTCTGGATTTCTCCTCTCGTGTCCAGCACAGATTTCTTTGCTTAATTTGTTTCCTTATCTGAAGCCTGCGATAATCCCATCTACTTCCTCTGACTCTGCTTCTCTCCACATTCATTTACGTGATTGAATTCAAATGCTGAGCTCTGCCTAAAGCTGAAGGGCTCCAGGAGTACCTGCCAGTATGTTTGAACTTCACAAGCAAGCTTGTTTCCTACCTGTTTTCTACCATTTATTTCACTGTAGAGACCAAAGCTCAGGGAAAGCTTGGAAGGGATCCTGGCACCAGACCCAGCTTAGAACGGCCACCCGTCCCCACAGAAGTACAAACCGAACTGCAGTCCCTTCCAGGACTTTGCCCTCTGTTTTTCCATCACTGATGATAAAGGTGACAGGGACACGCATGAAATCCCTCACAGAACACCAGGCATAGGCTATCGGACCCTTCAGCAAAAGCCTAAATGAAAGATTTTCTCCATGATGTTAAGTGGTATAGCTGTAAAAACATCGCCACCATGGAAAGTCCACAGGAAATTGAACTTCGTTACTGCGAAACTGAAACTCTCTAACCCCTTAAGCCCCCTTTTCCCTCAGTGGAACAATTATTTTTGTAATGGGATTTTGCTTTTGTTTTTGTTTCTGTTTGATTTGCTTTTAACACTACGGAAGGATGCTTGTTCGGTTTCACAGTCTTAATCTGGTCTCAGACATCAAAGCCCCAACCCCTCTGTAGACACACAGTCCATCTCAAGGCTCTGGTTCTGCCACGGATAACACCTTCTCCGCCTGTCATTTCAAAACTTGTTTTTCACAAGGGGCTGGTCCCCTGATGGCCACCCACCCTGCTGCCTCCCACAAATCAGGTTTTCTTCTGCCTGGATCACTTTAAAAATACAACACAACAGCCATTTTTAAGGGTGCACGGCACAGGGGCCACTCCACATTTGCGTGCAATAAGCTTGCTTTGAGTGTCCTTCCTGGGACAGGCCCAGTGCTGAGTCCCCAACCCCAGAGCATGCAGCCAGGTGGGGAGACAGATGTTCCTCTGACAGCCACACAGATGGGAAAAGATATCCTGGGGTAATTGCTTCAGAGGAAACCCCTAGGCCAAGACTGGGTACAGCATAGCAGGAGGGCCACCTCTCCTGGAGCCTCTGGGAGGTGACTTTGGAGTGGATGAAGGGGGAGGAATGAGAGATGGGAGAGCAGGGTGTGTTCCAGGCAGAGGGAACAACAGCCTGTTCAGTCAGAGGCGCTGAGGACCAGAGGGCCTGGCAAGCTTGAGAAAGGCCTGTCACATGCAGAGTATCACGTTAATAAGAGTCTGTCCATATTTGGGGGTCACTAGTCCAAGAGAGACATCTTCATCATGAAGGCATTCAAACTTCTCATTTTCCAGACTAGGAAACTGGGCCCAAAGGGAGAAGGATGTGTCCACACTCACTGAGTGGTAACATCGGCCTCCACGACTGGGTGGATTTACCAGGAGACAAAACAACTCCCTTTTTTTAAGTTCAGAGAAGCAGAATGTGAGGGAGCTTCACCTGTAGGGAAGGTTTGCAAGAGGAAAGGTCAGAGGCCTGGTTGGGCCAGCCCTTCAGTGGCCACACTGCGATTTCTCAGGAGCCCTGACCCCTTTCCGAAACTGGAAGGGCCACTGAAGATCACTTTCGGTTTCCAGCTGACACCCAGGAATTCTTGCTTTTACATGGTTCATTGCCTGTGACTCAGCTTCCCCAAGTGAACAGTACATTTGCACACGCTGTTCCATTGTGATAACCTGTTCCTGATTAATTTATCAGTCGATAATCCAACCCTTTACCCAAAGCCTCATTCATCTTTCTGACTCATTCTAGTACTTAATCACTCTTTCGACTTAGTCTGTTCAAGGGACTTGTGAGTGGGAGACTATCAGACATATGCATTGTAAGAGGTGAGGTCTGGAGGTCCCAGCAGGGGGGGTCTCTGGATCCAAAAAGTGGCCTGTTGGGGCCAATGAGCCCATATGCCTGAGTACTGGGATTTCTACAGATTTTCCTGGGGTGAGGGGCTGGGGAATGACCCCTCCCGTGATTATCTGTGCATTATCTAGAACTCATGCTTTATTAGAGCAGGGAGAGTGGGCTTGCCTTGCTCACCAATGCTTGACTCACAGCAGGTGCTCAGCAAATAACTGCCGAATGAATGAGTAAATGGCATGTCACCCAGAATTTTGAGATCTGATGCCCAGCCAGCTGGTGGAGTGATAAAGAGCACAGCAAACAATTACTGTATTTGCTGATTTGTAATACATACTATTTTCCCCCAAATATACTCAAATATTACCTGGCATCTAGTGCATCTAAATTATGGCAAATCACTAAAGATGTAAAACAGATATTGCTTAGCATCAAAAAGTAAATTCACATCGTATCACTGTATCTGTACTCTACAGTACGCCAGACTCACAGGAACCAAATAGCATTCATTCCTTTTCAAATCTTCACTAGGATGACTTTCAATACATGTACAATGACGATTACTTTATTTTTGTTCCACCATTACCACCGCCAACAAAAGTCCCTGTTAAATAAATCCCCAAAGTGATGCCTTATCTCGTATGAGGAAGAAATGTTTTGTTTAACCTTAGAGTTAGTGCCTCTTGGTCCTGATGGGTCCCCAGAACTCACACAGCCTCACCCCCAATGCCCTCCCCTCCAACTTTTATAGATATGGGGCCCATGAGGCCCAGAGAGGGTAATAGGAAGGTAATAAGAAGGCTGTTTTGGGCCCCTTATCATTCAGGAGGTGGTACCACATACCTTCATCTCATAAGGACCCTGGAATGAGGTCTTACTAGGCCCATTTTAAAGACAGAGAAATTGAGGCCTGCAGACACAGGGGTAGAGCCTGAAGCCACATCCTGTAACTTCAGCTTCAGGCCTCTGGATCCCCATTTCTCAGATGTCACTTGATCCTCAGGGTTGCTTCAAGCATCCTAGGCAGGAAGAGAGGAGGGTCTGCTACCAATTGTTTTTTTTTCAAAAACAAGGAAGGCGTCTCAGCTGAAAATTCTGGAGAAGTGACTCATCTTCCCACCCTCCATTCCTAGGGCTGCATTTTAGCTTCTTGTGAATAAAAACACTCCTTTGCCTTTGTTTCCCCAGGACTGGACAGCGACTTCCTCGCTGTGCTGAGTGATTACCCTTCTTCTGACATCAGCCCCCCGATATTCCGCCGAGGAGAGAAACTGCGTGTGATTTCTGAGTGAGTTAGCTTTCCAAAACTTTTAGAATTCCTAAAAGAGGATGAACTCAGTTTGGGTAAGAATCGTTAGATTTTTAGCTACAGTTGTCCAGTTTCACATGGGCCCTGGTTCTATTGTGAGGAGAGAAGTTTAGCTCACACTGTGAACTCCTTCCTTAATGCTGCCAGTGATCAAAAACATCCAGGCTCCCTATTGCCTGCTAGATAAACTTTAAGTTCCTTGACATGGCCTTTGGGACCCTTTATGATCCAACTTCTACTTCTCATATTGGCCTTGTCTCCCACCACACGTGCAGTGTTGATATTACACACCAACGAAGACTGGGAAGGAAGGCCTGGGGTCTGAAAACACTTCTGATAATAATAAAAAATAAATAAATAATAATAAAAAAGCATGGCCTTCCATCCTGTTGTCTCTCTAGTCTAATTCAAAGTAGGCTATATAACAAAATAGGGACTCTAAGCCCCTTTTATTTAGGTCTTCATTGAGGTAGTCACATGAAACTATCTTATCCTTGCTTATATATTGCAGCGTATGAATATACTAAACACTTATTCTAATTACAGCTCAGTTAATTTTTTTTTTTTTTTTTTTTTTTTTTTTGTGGCTGGCCAGTACAAGTACAGGGATCTGAACCCTTGACCTTGGTGTTATGAGCTCTGACCAAGTGAGCTAACTAGCCAGACTAAAGACTTATTTATAAAAAGCCTCCAACTGTGGGACATCAGCTGCTGATCCCTGAAAGGTGGCTATTGCCAGCACGTGGAAGGTTTCTCAGCGTGGAATGGGCGAATATCTATAAAAATACATGTATTTTAAAAACTGAATTTTCAGATGGAGGAATTTGGGTCAACGTGGCCATTGAAAGATCTTAAAAAAAAGGAATGTCCCAAGTTTCCCATTAAATCTGATTATTCTGTTTATTTATTTATTCATTTGCTTTGCCATTTGCCCACCCACCCTCTCCTATCTGTTTTTATTCTTACAGTGAAGGGGGCTGGTGGAAAGCCATTTCTCTTAGCACTGGCAGAGAGAATTATATTCCTGGAATATGTGTGGCCAGAGTTTACCACGGGTGAGTACATTTCTCAAATGGCATCATAAAAACATGACATTTATTCTGGAGACTCATAAGATGGCATAGAGAGATTCCAGCATGATATAGTAGAAAGGAGGGCGTTGGCCGGAGAGGGAATGTTTCTATTCCCAGCTCTGCCTGTGAGGAATGCTCCATGTTGAACTAACCCCTTCTACTCTCTGGGACTCAATTTCCCCATCAGTAAAACAAAGGAAGTTGAACCTTTGAGCTCTAACATGGTATTGCTGGCACGTAGCAGTGAACACTCAGGAACTGTTATCATAGGATGCAGCATGGTGTAGTAGCTAAAAGCCAGTCTGTCTGGGTTCAAAGCCTGCCTCTGCCACTCACTGGCCATGTGACGGTGGACAAGCTATTCAACGTTCTATGAATCTTTCCTTTCCTCACCTGTCAACTAGGGATCACAATACAGAATAATAGTAATAATAATATATAATAATACGACAGGATAATATGTGTATAGTTCTTGGTGAAGTGCCAGGCATTATTGTGAGTGCTCAATAAATATTGGCTATTCTTATCAAATTCATAGCCAGAAGCACACAGAGAATGCTTCCTGTCAAAGTGCTTATGCACCCAACTTGACAAATAATGAGAAGAAAGTGGTAGCTTGGCAGATGAGGAAACAAGCACATGGCTTGCTCCTGAAGTTGTGCAGGGGAGGGCGTCCCAGCCTCTGGGCGGCTTTGGAGCCGAGCACACCTGGGCTCAATTCCTGGCTCCCCTCCCTCATGCAAGGGCCTTGGAAAAGTTACTTAACCTCCTTGACGTACAGTCTCCTCATCTGCCAAGCTACCAAGGCTGGACACTGGCAAAGAAGTACACAGCATATAGGAAATGGGAAGGAAGGAAGAAAAGAAACACCATTTTTATAAATATTTTATATCTTATTCACATCCAGAGAAGGACTTTGCATAACACATGCTCATCTGGTGAAAGAGATAGTTACCTGAATACTTTGAAGATTGGACTTGACTATGTTTAATTTCAGTACTAATGATCTTAATTATGAATGCCAGAAACCATTTCCGTGCTTAGGATGATGAAGGTGAACAAAACTGGGGCAGTAGCTCCTGTGAGCACCACATTCTGAAAGAGACATGAATCACTCAACTCTCCTAAATGAGCTGCATGTCAGTGCTCCACCCATCGCTTCAGCAAGCCAGCACCAGCACCCTCACGTTGAAGACGTGGTGCTGAAGCTGGCCAGAGCTCGGGTGGTGAGAAACCCAGATGAGCAAGACAATTAGGACCCTGCGGAACCTCTTTAACACTAGAATAGGAAGAAAGCAGTGAAGTATGTGGTTATGGAACTGGATGTCCCAGTAAAGTGCATTATAATTTTAGCTCTATGAATTGTTGACATGGTAACTTGGACAAACTACTTAATCACTCTGACCCTCAGTATCCTCATCTGTGAAAGAGAGAGAACATTACCTGTCTTAGGGGCTTGAGATAAGAATTAGATTTCAAATGCTTCATTTGGAAGGTGTGCCATAATTGGCATTCATACATGGCTGTTGTTATTGTTTTGCTGTCTTCATAAGTGGAATTTCATGTAAGGACTTGAATGCACTAATGCTTGTCACATACAGTAAAATAGTTAATATGTCATGTGTTGTGCAGGACAAAGGAAATTGCTGAAATATTTAGACAAATATAGGATAATCATGAGCTTAACAACAAAAATGAATCTGGAGATCAGTTCATAAGTAAACAGAATCCGATGCCACACCCACGGGTCTTCTCACACATGGTGCCTCGGGAGCTCTCATCTGGCCCACTTTAACAACCTGCTTGTGTGCCTCGGTGATCATTAAAGGCTGTGAAACAGTGAAGTACTAATATTGGCCACAGCATACACTCATTTGGACTTGTGGATTAAAAGCCAGAGGTATTTCATTCACTGAAGTACGGAGTCAGTTAAAAAGTGATGTGTAGTTGCTTCCCAGCACACACCAGCCACCTGCTAGCAAAGCATGTCCCTGAGATCTGGTGGAGCCTGACCTGAAAAAGCAGTAAAAGCCCTTTCCCTTAGATCATAGACTCCTCTGTGTCAGAGCAGCTTTCTAAGAGTATTCAAAACTATTGGTTCTCCTATGCGAGGTGAATATCCCGTGGGAAAACTAGGCTAAAGTATCACAACTGCTTTTTTTTTTTTAACTGTTAAATAATAACAGCAAGAAACACATATACTTGTAAATGTGTAGCACAATGGCAATTTTCTTTAAAATATGTTAAAATAGAAAACAGAAAAAGGAAATACAATGAATGCAAAGCGGGGCTTTTTAGGTTACTGAAATCACTTACCCCCATCTCTTTCCTTCTTTCTTATGTCCATTCATTCATTCCCAAATATATACCAGCACATTACCCTGGAAACAGAGGTGAAACCCAACAAGACAGACACAGTGCCTGCTCTGAGAGAGTGGCAAGGGAGGGCCATGGTGGGCAGGATGTAAGGGAGACACCAGAAAGGTACATTGCAACCTTTTATAATGTGTATCTGTTATATGACACAGAATGGGTAGGTACGTTCCAGTTGGCATTTGAGAAATGGGATACGAAAGGTATCTTCTGCATCATTGTGTCATTACCCAGCATGATACTTGGCACATAATAGGTGCTCAGGTAATCTTATTTAAAAGATTAAAAATATGAATGAGTGAGCAGCCAGTCAATTGCCCTCCTCTTTTTAATTCCAGCAGCTTTATATAGACTGGACCTTAATTTCATTTTCACATTTGTATTCACCGGCTCTTAATTGCTACGTTCCCATCTTGGGCGCAGGGTGATGGGGTAGGACATGCTCAGGACACTCATGGCAGTCTTCCTACTTCCAGCTGGCTGTTTGAAGGGCTGGGCAGAGACAAGGCTGAGGAGCTGCTGCAGCTGCCAGACACGAAGGTCGGCTCCTTCATGATCAGAGAGAGTGAGACCAAGAAAGGTGAGCAGCCTCCACTCCTCTTTGCACGCTCAGGGCAGACAAGCAGGTTTTGTTCCTGGCTGGCTCATTAGGGGCTCTGCTTTCCCTCCTCCTCCTACATGCACACAAATCCATCCCATGTGCTTAGCTCCCTGCAGCCTACTCTCTGCCAGTGAGGCCAGCATGAGAGCAAGGGGACTAGAAACAGGGAGCAGGGACCCAGCTGGGCACTGCCTCAGGCCCTGACCGATATCAGGCCCTGCTAACTCCTGCTGGAAAATTTTCCATTAACTAGGAACAAAACTGAATGCTGGGCAGACAGAACCTGGATTGTGGTGTAGGCTTGGCCTACTCTCAAGCTCTGTGACTTGGGAGGGTTATTTACTTCTCTGAGCTCAGTTTTCTCATCTATGAAATGAACAGAAAACCCCTCCTTTGTAAAGCTGTGGTTAGATTCAAATGTAATATTTATGGTGCTCTTGCTACACACAGGCCCTCAATATCAGTTTTCTCTGTGCCCTACAATTACATAGACATTTTAGAGAATGAGGATGAGCATATGCACGCTCTTACACACTCACCGTGATCTTGATCATTACAATTCCCTAGCATCTTATGCATTAAGTAGTTCAGTGAAAACAGAAATAGCAGCAGCTCTTTGTCATGGTTCAGAGCAGGAGCCCCAAATTCCAGTTTCAGCCACATGAGTTACTAAGAAGTTACCTCCTCTCTCTATGTCTGGGTTCCCTTATCTATAACATGGGGCTAACAATAGGAAAGTGCCCAGTACCATGCCTGGGAAACACTAAATCCTCAAACTCAAGGAGCAAACACTTAACAAGGAATTTCCAGACTAAATAATAACTTTTCAAAAATAGAAGATATTTTCAAGTTTTAAGCCTGCTTCTTGCACACTTACTATCAAAGAAGAGAAAACACAGTACCTGAGAGTATTTCACCTATTAAGTGTCTGCACTAGCTGGGGCTGAAGCCCTTCCCCAAAAGGAGCATCAGCCTGGCTTTGGGAAAACAGGGACCATATATATGTCATAAAAAAAAAAAAAATCCCAGGACAACTTTTCTCTCAAAAAACTTGAATATGCTTGGAAGAGCCATATCAAAGCGAAGGCAAAGGTCTTGCTTAAGTCACAGGTGTCCCGTAGGGCAGGACACCCAGACGCAGATGGAGCCTGGCTAAGGGGAGGAGAAGCCTAGTATGGGTGCCACCACTCACTTAAAAATAAAGATGTCTGTCACCAGGCAAAGGTGCAGTCGGTCTGGGGTGAGATGGCGGGCCACCTTGGGTATGCAAAGTTCTGACGATTTTCCATGGCTACCTTGGGCTGCTTACCACACTTCCAGTTCCCATTGATATTACAGGAAGGCACACACGGGCTGACTCAGATGCAGGCCTGGGGCACAGCCAGGGGGCTTGCTGAGGACGAGCTCACACTTCAGGGATGCCCTCTAACGCCCTGTGCCTCTGGCCATGTCACTCAGGGGCTCTAAGCCTCCATTTCTCCATCTAGAAAATGTGGGGCCAATACCTCCCAGGGTCTTTCTGAGAATTCACAGAGATGTTACCCAGAAGTTAGCCTCCCCGCTGCCCAGCACAGAGAGCAAAGAACAAGACCAGCTCCCTCCTCCTCCCTTTCACAGCCTCCTGAGCGGTTTTTCACTCCTGGAATCACAGAAGACAGAGCAGGGAGGACCCCGACGCATGACCTAAGTCCGCTTCTCTCATTTTCCATTTGGGGAAATTGAGGCTGAGAGAGGCAATGGCACTGCTGAGGTTCTGCTCATATTGAGTCATTACTCTAATGACACATAAGGAGAAATAAGACACCTTTCAGATGTTTCTTGGGGATACCCAGGAAAATGTCTTAACCGCCACTTGCTCCAAATTTCCGAGAAAACCAAGCATAAGTCAGAGGGTGCTGGGACCGGGAAAGGGAGCAAAACTGTAAGGCCCCCCTTTCAACCGGTGGTGTGATGGCCAGGGCAGACAGGGCTGAAGGAGGAAAGGGGCAGTGAAGTATCTCAGAGGGTACTCGGGAAGGGTTCCAGAACGAGCACAGGTCCTGGATCTACAGGCGGCACCAAACGACAGTCCCTCAATTTGACCAAGGAGTCACATCTGCAGGAGCACCAGATGCTTACCTCAAAAAGCAAAGAGGACTAGGCCTGGGGACTAGAAAATGTGCACAGGTGATCTGATGGACACACCTGGTTGCTAAAATATAACACACTCCGAGGTCTCTAAACAGCGAGCTACATCCAAACAGAGAGGGTTCCAGGGGCTGGAGGGGCTGCCTCAGGGGTGGGGGGCCGGCTGGCCAGTTGCCTCTGGGTGGGAACACATGGGCGCCACTGACTCGTCCTCTGCTCCCGCAGGTTTTTATTCGCTGTCGGTGAGACACAGGCAGGTGAAGCATTACCGCATCTTCCGCCTGCCAAACAACTGGTATTACATTTCCCCGAGGCTCACCTTCCAGTGCTTGGAGGACCTGGTGAATCACTATTCTGGTAAGAAACACTCAATCGGGACCAATCGAGGAAGCCCCCCCTGACCTAACTGCCCTGCGGTGCCATCAGTCTGGGCTGCGGCCCGGCCACCAATAAATGCCAGACTGACTCACCTTCTGCCCATTCTGCCATCTTCCTATGCTCTCGTGTTCATTCAGACTGCAAATTCTGGGCTAACACAGACTGCCTGTGAACGCTGCCTCACGAGCTAACGCGCAGCTCATCTCAGATTTGCTCTATAAAGAGGCAAGTCAGGATGCCCCTGTGTCACTCTGACATGAGCCACGTTTACTCAGGCAGGACATCTCCTCCTCCCTTCTCTGCCTTATTACAGTGAGGAAAAAAAGTTTCTTTTGCTTTTTCACATCATCCCCCTTCTGGGTTCGGGATGCTTGACTTCACATGTCTGGGCAACTTTGCTAGCACTGAATTGAATTGAATTGAAGAAGCAAAGAGCATTTCAAGGAGGAAGGCTGTACATGGCCACTGGTTGTCACACCTGGCCTGTGAGAAGCAGCGGCTCATGAAGGAGAAATTCCGGGCTGCACTGAGACCTTGAGCAAGGTTCTCCTTGGAGTCTTGGTTCCCATTCATGCAAGATGGGTGAAAATAGCCTCCTAGCAAGGGACTGAGTGGCTACTAAACACAATTGTTCATGGAACATGTCGTGCTCAGCCAGGCATGTGGCAGATGCAAAATCAATGATGACCAATGTGACTTCTGTGATACTTGAAGACCCAGTGGCTAGCTAAAAATGAAAGAGGAAGGGACTCCTGGAAACAGGCAGCTTATGCTGGTCATGAGCAAAGGTTGGTTGTGATATTTGGCTTTTGACAACAATCATCTGAGAGGTGTGGAGACCATAAGTTTTGCATAGACAAAAGCAAACATGGAAAGGGTGCTGTCCATCCATGCTCTTACAGACCTCCTGGGAGGCCACAAGGCTACCAGGCCAAGAACACCCCAGTCCACCTGGTGCCACTTGGCCACAAGGAGGATCTTACACTAACTGCAGAGCTAGTGCCTTCCAGAGATATGTCCCTGGCCACTGAGTCCATCAGTGGGCTGCAGCCATCTGCTCACCTCTGTGAATAACTGCAAAGGGTCTGAACACCTGAATGCCTCCTGCATTCCTTCAGAATCTCAGAGTGGAAAGATGGCCAACTTACCCCCCCCCCTCCCCATGCCCCCCAGATCCTTCCTAAAGGCACAGAATCAAAAGAACTGTGCACCAGGGGATCTGAACAGACCTCTTTGTTTTACATGTTGCTCATATTTACCATCCTGGTGCCCCCGGGCAAATTACTTAACATGTCAGAGCCTCAGTTTCTTCATCTAAATGGGGATTAAAATGCCTCTTCAAAGGATTGTTGTTAGCAGCAAAAAAAAAAGAAATCATGCATGTGAAAAGTCTTGCCTCTAAACCACACACATGCACGGTGGTTACTGAGAGAACAGAGGGGTAGAGCCTGAATGAGTTCTAACTACGGCCAGGAAAGTAAAGGGAGGGGAACATGGGACCACGGACAGAGAGTCGCTGGAGCCTAAGACTGTGAGAGAAAGGAGCATTGTGGCAAGCTGTGCAGACAGGAGTGAGTTAGACCAGTGTGTCCAGACCGTAGATATAACGTAGGATTTCCTTCTCAAGTAGACAATGTAGGATGTCTCCATTTAAGAGGCAATGAGTTGCCTGGTTCTAAGTCAACGAGACGGGTTTCGGTCACATTTCTGTAGTCCTGAGCAAGTGACTTGATCCAGGGATCCTGCTTTCTCATCCCAAATATGGGTCTAAAGACAATGACTGCACAAAGTTGATGTGTGGCCTCAATGAGACACAGTGGGGAAGGCCAGCTCAGCCCTCGGCTCCTGTCACATGCTTGTAAGTGTCTGTTTTTTTGCTCTTCCTCAGAATGGATTTTTCACCCTAAATATTAACCTCTCTAAGGAAGGACATTCACAAAGTGTCCCCTGCCTGTGCTGCAGATGGCAGCTAATTTCTCTTGTCTTTGTATCTGATTTTGTCTCCTTGCCTCATAACTCTGGAGGTCGTTTCAATTTCCAGCCCTGACAGGTCATTATTTTAGATTCCCATCCAATTCTGCTTCCCTCTAACCTCACAGTCCCACCTTCCATTTCTCCATGGGCACCCATGTGGGTGGATGTTTGAGTTCATAGTGAAAGTCCCACCGAAAACCATGAGACAGGGCACCTGGACTTGCCACCCTTTGATGGCCTGCGTGTGTAGCTCCGGCTGCAATTTCCTTTTGTTCTTTGGCAGGGACACCCTGAAAGCCTCATAAGTCAGAGAGGAGGCAGAGACTGTCAGAGGCAGTATGTGCCTTCTCAGGCCTGGTGATGGGTCGGCTCCGGGGTCAGGGGACACGGTCCTGCTGAAGACCAGCAGCATCTCCCCAGGTGGGAGAAGCACTGGGGTCTCTGGCCTGAATAAGGCCACACAGAATTTCCTCGATCTCTAAGATGCCCGAACACTGCAGAATCAAATCTTTCTCATGATGGTGTGGGCTAGGAGCAAGGCTTCCAAGAGATGGGGGCTACATTTTCACATTCCTGGAAAAATGAGGGACCCTGGAAGCTCAGATACCAGCCAAGGGAAAAAAGAAATGGGCTTATTTAATTTTTGTCCTCTTTGTACATGGTCTCTAGAGTAGATACTTTGTGCATGATCTCTAGGGTAGATACTCATGGACTAGGGAAGAGAGAGTTTCATTCATCCTTCCTTTGTCCACTTTCTCTCTTTTGCCCCTTTGTCTTTTTCCCTCCCTCCCCTTCTGTGTCTTTCACACTTTCTGTGCTCTCTTCACTTCCTCCTCCCTCCCTCCCTCTTCCTCTCTCGCTTTCCCTTTTCTTCCTTCTCTCCCTCCTTCCTCCCTCCCTCACCCTTCCTTCCTTCCTTCTTTCATTGTTTCCTTTACCTGCCTTTCTTTCTGCATGTGTAGCTAGCCCACCCGTGCCGTGCTAAGTGCTACTGCATGTACCCGGGGGAACCTGCATCAGGCAGGCTGCACGCTCGCACACAGGAAGCTCACCCCAGGAAGTTCATGGGTGTGAAACGTTGCAGGCCATGGCCTTGCACAGTCACTCTGCCAGTTGTCCCCATTTGTTACCTCGTCCCTCTCATTTTGCTATGGAGGAAGGTGAGGCTAGAGACGTTCAAGATAATTAACTATTAGGGGCAAAGCTGAAATTTAAACCCAAGTTTGGTTGGTTCTGGATCCTAAACCCCTCTCTCTCCCTGTGCCTAGCTACATGCAGAGCAGAGTCGGGGTTCGTTAACATTTCTCAAACCACTGGTGCACGACTCTCAGCCATGCCACTACCTACCATGCCCCTTTCAAATCTTGGCCCTAGTTTCCCCATGCCAATAACCAGGTGTGGCATCCTCAGATCCCTGACTGGCTGTCTGCTTCCCTCCCCAGAGGTTGCTGATGGCCTCTGCTGTGTGCTCACGACACCATGTCTCATGCAGAGCACGGCCGCCCCGGCGGTGAGGGCCTCCAGCTCGCCTGTCACCCTGCGCCAGAAGACCTTGGACTGGAAGAGGGTGTCCAGCAGGTGGTGTGTGTGTGTGTGTGTGTGTGTGTGTGTGTGTGTGTGTCCTCCATGAACATGTGAGCACAAAACAATGTGTGGGCCTGGCACATGAAAATGACAGCCAGTGTCAGCCAACCCTGCCGACACCTGGGGGTGGGCCCAAGCAGGTGCAGACCCAAGGAATCGTGCTGACCTTGAAGGGGGCAGACCCAGCCTCGCAAAACATGAAGCAACTCCCCACCAAGACCCTCAGTCCCTTGATTCTGCAAATGTTCACTGAGCACCCTATTCAATATTAGCAGTACATTCTCTAGCTTAAATACACCACCTTGCTTTTTGTAATTGCTAGACTCTTAGAGAATAGCACACATACAAATCTTGTGTAAATTTAATGTTATTTAAATCTCACTCAAAAAGCTTAAACACACCAGCAAAATCCTAAGGTGACTTTGTTTTTTTCTAAGGGGAAAAAATCTTCTACCGATTTGTTCTGTTTATTCCATTGTCAGCTATAAAATTTGAAGGGGATAACTGTAGTTTTAGATTGGTGTGTTATCTTAATAATTGAACACTGATCCAGACATTCCACTCACAAATTAAAAGAATATCACAGATCAGAATTGCCTGGGAGATGGATAAAACTGCTCTTTTTTGTAAATATCATAAAAACTACTAAAATTTACAGTCGGAAGTTTTAGCCACCCAAGAAAATAAATAGTGGTTCAGAGTGGTTAAGTGATTTGTTCAAGATCACATAGCCCATAAATGTAAGAGACGGAATTAGAACAATAAGTTAGAAAACTATTAACCAGGCTCTCTCTCTTTCTTTCTTTTTTCATTCTCTTGTCCTCCATCGCCCCCACCACGTCCCTCTCTTTTTGCCCTTCCTCTGCCCCCTTTCCCTCCAACTCACAGACTGCAGGAGGCCCCCGAGGGAGCAGAGAACCCGCTTGGGGTGGATGAGTCTCTTTTCAGCTATGGCCTTCGGGAAAGCATCGCCTCCTACCTGTCCATGACCAGTGATGACAACACCTCCTTCGATCGCAAGAAGAAAAGTGTCTCCCTGATGTACAGTGGGAGCAAGAGGAAGAGCTCGTTCTTCTCGTCGCCTCCGTACTTTGAAGACTAGCCAGTGAACACACACCACGGTTCACAACCAAAAGGAACACAGGTTCCAAGTATCACCTGGGATCTTGCAAAAAGCAGGGTTCCCTGGTCCCCAGGGAACCTCCCATCTTCCAGAAGCTGAGAGAAGCCACACAGACTCAAATTCACGTCTTCTCTAATCCACATCATGACCAAAGGAACCCTTCCCTGGCGTCTGATCAGTACTGTGACATCACAAAATGCTGAATCATGACACGATCGGGCAATGCTCTGAAGAGCCTAGCATGTATGTGTGCGCACGCCGTGTGTGTGTGTGGGGGAGACAAAGACACTCCCACAAGAAAGTACCCCAGCACCCTTCTCCAACCAGCCGCCCAGACGGCTACACTCTGGGGTCATCAGAGAGAACGTCTATGTGAGAAAGCCTGAGAGGCAGATGAGCCAGAGCTATGGCCCAGCAGAAGGTCTGGGTTTGCAGATCAGTCGCCTGAATGGAACTTTTTAAACCAATCTGTAAAGAACTTTGGTACACATCATCTCTCTCTAAGGGAACTCTGTGACACTAATTGTTAGTCCAAAGGACTTGTTAGTCTTGAATCAGGAGATGCCTTTGACCTCCTCATGCACCAAAGCCACGTGGGCAGAAGTCAGAAGGCCTCCCCACTTCTGAAGAGGGCAAGACAATGGGAGAGAGGGAGGCTGCTGGTGGGGAAGGGGGAGAAGGGCTAGAACTGCACAAGCTCGCATGATGTCCCCAACCACGCACGACTCTGCCGTGCAGAAGAGCTTTTTCTGGGTTGCTAGGCTTCTTGCCTGTATTAATGCATCAATTATTCATTCATAACTGCTTAAAGAGGTACTGTGTTAAGGTATCAGGCCAAGAAAATAAGTAAAATAAAGATGACTAAGCCCCCCCCCCCGAGGTTGTCACAGTGTAGACAGCAAGAAAAGTATATTAACAACAAATATGAAAATGGGTGTAGAAGGAGAAATCAACTCATGGCTTAGGATGGAATTGGAGGCAGACGAGGGTACCCAGGAGTTCACGTTTCTGCTGATCTTCAGAGAGTACAAGGGCTGCCTGGGTTGAATAGGTAGAAATGGCTATATATATATGTATAAATATATATACATATATATATATTTTTTAAAAAAAGAACAAAGAAAAGAAACTGATTAAGTTCTAAAGAATTAATCCATCCAGTATTTTCTCCTAAGAAGGGTCTGGCATCCACATGAGTAAAAATGCTGAGCTCCAGGAAAGATGGGAGCCTGAGCAGATTAATTCTGTCATGTATAATTTAGGAGATGAGGGAGAAAACACAGCGTATTTCTAGAGAAGAAGAAGCATTTATCTCCACGCTGCCCGTCTGGATCCTGCTAGGGAAAGAGGGGCTGCACATGACTCCATGACTCATCTTTCCCTGTTTCAAAGGGATTCTGGGGGAGGAGGGATGCATGCATGTGGTATCTCTGGAGGCCTGAGGAGTCTGTCTGCTTGCTGTAAGCATTCCATACATCTGAGCTCACTGTGCTGATGGGATGTGTATATTCATTTACATGATTTCCTGTATCATCAGATTCTGGTGTGTTTATACAAGGAGACGTTTGTGGTTTCCTTAACAATCCCAAAAGGCTGTTTCAAAGCAACAAGCCAGCGTTTGAGAGATGAATGTAACACTGTGAACGTTGACTTCCACCATAAGGCAGGGTGACCTCGCAAACTCCAGATGTCTGTACAGTGTCTTCTGTATTGTTTTCCGTTGTGAAAAATGTGATTGGAACATTCAGGGGCACTCGGAGGCATTTCTAAGTGCGAAGCATTACACTTTGTTAAATCATGTATTTATTCCTGATTAAAATAAACCTAATACATATTTAACTATTGGAGTGTGGGGAGAGCCTCTGGGTTGAGGTGGGTGGGTGGTTCATTCAGAAGCTCTGTGGGTTTTGAATTTTCAAATAATGTGCAACTGTAGAGAGAGAAGAAGCAGCGAAGAACAGCAAGAGAAACCCGGCACCAGCTAGCAGCTCCGCTCTTCTCGAGGAGCTGCTCAGACAACCAGATTGGATGACTTTTGAGGGTCTCTCATTAAACTGAAAAGTGGGCATAGGGCACTGAGGGCGAGAAGAAATTCTAAGTGATTGTAGTGAAAATTCTGTCTCCTATAGACTCTTCCACACATTACTTGTGCTTCCTGAGCTATTCTTTCAGGAATTTCTTTCTACAAATATTTTGTGGACACCTAGTAAACAGACAGTGCTGGAGGTGCTGGACTGGAGCAGTGAAAAGCAGATGAGTTCTCTGCTCTCATGAGCTTGATGTCATAAGTAAACAAGACACTTTCCCAGGGTGGTGAGTGCAGGGTTCCAGTGCAGCAGCCTGGCTGATGGGGAGGCCCGCAGATTGATACTGAGGAAAGGCCTCTAAGTGGAGGCAACATTTGAGCTGAGGCCTGGAAGATGAGCTGCAGAGGCAACATTTGAGCTGAGGCCTGGAAGAGCCTCAAACAGCCATGCAAAGACCAAGGAAGGTTATTGGAGGCAGTGGGAATGGTGGTGCAGTTCCTGCAAGATTACCTGCTGCAGGAACTACAAAAAGAGTGGGAGGGCGGGGCTGAGTGAGCTAGGGGAGGAGGGGAGGGCCCTCAGGAGGGAGGCCAGGCAGGTCCTGCAGGGCCCTGTAGGGGAGGGGAAGGGGTTTGGGGTCTCTTCTAGGAGAAATGGAAAGCTATTGTAAAGATCTAAGTATGGGGGTGATATCAGCTCATTTATATATTTATAAGATCACGCATGCTGCTGTGTAGAGGATGAATTTTCAAAACTCCATTATTGGATCATGTAGTTGACACATACTTAGAATAAAAGGATGCAGAGAGTTTAAAAATAAAAAGGTAGAACATTTTTTCATGCAAAAATCAACACAAGGAAAACCTGTGCTGCATTTTGAGTCAAAATGTCATTTAAGGTGAAAATAAATTACATAAGGGCAAAGAAAGATGTTACAGAAGGAGAGACATTAAGAAGATATAATGATCGTAACATATGTTAATAGAATGACAAAGTTTCAAAATATATTAAGCAACTATTATAGTGACACAGATAAATCAGTAATTTTATTTGGAGATCTTAATATACAACTCTAAGAAACTTATACAAAGATAAGTAAATAAATAGATAAATATGTAGATAGATTTTCATAAAACTATACACTTTTCTACCAATAAATGGTGAATCCATTAGGTCACAGAGGAAGTGCTAATATCTAAGAGTCAACATCTTCCAATTCATGTTCTATAGTAATAATGCAATTAAATCAAAATAAATTTGCAAAAGGATGGATAGAAATTCTATGGATCTAAAATCTTTAAAAAAAAAATCCTTGGGTTAAGGAGAAGATAATTTGGGCAAGAAATGATAAAATACTTAAAATAAATGACATGAATTGCTACTTTTCAAAATTTCTGGGACAAAGCTGATAACACAGTAAGAGGAAAATTTATTGCTTGAATTACTTGATCAGAAAACAGAGAATGGAAAGTAATGAGGTCAGCTTTCACCTCAAGAGACTAAAGGAAGGTAAAGACAAGAGCAGGTGGCAGTGAAATGGAGTTCTAAAAACACAGCCAAAAAGAGTACTTTAACCTGCAGAACACGTTCAAATCGTAAGATTACTATGATAGATAAAAACTCCCACAAGCGTGATCAAGAAAGACGAAGGAGAGCAAAAGTAAATGAAATGCAGTCATATTCAGCAGTTCTGCTGGCAGCTGTGTCTGCAGGAGGAGGGGTACCCTCCTGGCAAAGCCCTAAGACAGCAGGGGTGGCCCTGGCCCTCTCTCTCCTTCCCCTGTTGTCTGAGCCTCCCGACCCTCACTGGCAGGGTAGCCCAGACTCAACCCTGCAGATGAGGACAAGGCCCTAAGAGATGGCAGAGAAACAGAAGAAACCGGGACCTGAGTCATCAGGAGACACCTGGACTGCTCACCTTGGGAAATGCTGTGAGAAAGAGAGAGGGAGAGAGAGAGAAAAAAGAGAAGCTTATTTATTCTTTATGCTGCTTTAGTGTTGGGTCTACTTGTTATAGCAGCAGAGCATTTGGCTGCAACAGGTACAAGGTAAACCTGCAGGTGATACTTATACTTATTTGCAGGTGATACTTCATAGAAAGTCCAGCAGAACCAACAGCAAAGCATTAGAAGTGGTAAGGAAGCTCAGCAAATAGCTGAACCCACTTATCCTATGCCAGTATTTATGAATTGGAAAACACAACAGAAAATAAGACACCATTCACAATGCCAACCAAACCAGGGCAGAAGTAGGAGCTTGCCTTGCCACGATTCCACAAAACCTTCATGAAAAAATGTTCAAAACTCTATGAGAAGACCTAAGGAGGTAAAAATACTGTGTTCCTGGTTATAGTGTTAACCCTATTCACAGATGTAAGACTGAACATCATAAAAATGTAGATTTTGTTTTCTAAAATCAATTTGTAAATTCCATGAAAATACATTCAAATTCTTAACAGAAAAAAATTCCTAAAAAGGGGGAAAAAAACCTCAAAAAACTTACTGTAAAATAAGTACGAAGCATCAAAACCCATGAATAGCTAGGCCAATTTGAGTAAGACAAGCATAGAGGCAGGTGCTCACAATGTGAGATATGCTGCAGAAACAAGAGAAAACACTTTGAGCCCACACCACCACCATCCGCCCATCAGTTTAATGGAGCTCAGCCTGGTCTCTCCCAGGTGCTGTGCTAAGTGGTAGGGAAGTACTGAGAGGATTAAAGTCATGTAAGGTTTCAAGCATGCAGTCACAGTGGAATTGGAATAAGAGATCTTAGAAAAATAACAAACATGTAGAATAAGGCAGGATTCCTAAAAATTGCTAAATAAAAGTCTCCTTACTAAGGTGAGATTCCTTCTGTTTCAAGAGTTGGAAAAAGTTTTGGAGGCCCCGTGTCAGCTAAGCCCCAAAGGATGGGAAGCACTTTCCAGGTGGATACTGGACATGCTGACCACAGAACAGATGTGGAAAAGCCCAGAGGAAGGTGTGGCATTTCCTAGGAATTGTGACAGCCAAGGAGCCTGGAGTGCACAATCCATGGAGGAAAGGAGAAAGGAAAATTTAGCTTGAGGCCCATTCATGAGGCCAGGAGTTCACCCTGAGGAATGCAGAACTGGGACAAAGTCTGGGACCCACAAATCATACACAAAGGATACAATCTTCTCTGTCTTCTCTTAAATCTGGTGAGGGTCAGAACCACACAATGCATGTTTGCAACAAGTCACTCTTCTTCCTCCAACCTGACCCCCAGAGCAGGTGAAATATCCCAGGACTTACTTTTGCTTGGAGTTGCTTTCCCTTGGCAAGGTAAGGGGGAAACTTGGATTTCTTGAGTTCCTATGTTGTACAGGATACTTTGCAAACCTTATATTATGACATTATGTGGAGACCTTTGGAGATAGAATTAATCACATTTGTTTGATTTTAGAGGTGAAGAATGCAAGGTAAAGGGTTTCATCCAAGGCCAGAATCTTAATGCAGGTCTGTCTGATACTAGACTCTTACACCTTGAAGCCTGGAAAGAGTCCTAAGTTCCTGGAAAAGCAGCCTAATAGAATGGGAAAACGCAGAATTTGGCTTTAGGTTCTAACCCCCAACACAGTGACTTCTTTGCTGTGTGTGCTTTGGCAGGACACTGAATCTCTCTGAGGCTCAGATTTCTTATCCCCTGATTGAAAATAAAATAAAGAACCTGTGCTAGTCAGTGAGAAATCATAAGATAAGATACTGAAAATGCTTTGTGGCTCTAAACATGCTAAATAAATATAGATCACTAATCATCATCACAGGAGTTTCTCCCAACAGACATTTCAAGAGTTCTGGCCCCAAGAATTGCAGAGAGACTTAACATTTTATCCAAAAATAAATCACCAACTCACATTCATTCCCTAAACATCTGTTGGTAAAGAACTCATTTAAGAACTGCTAATATATTGAAGTATTTTAGTTCTCTCAATTCCAAATAATTTCACATGCATCCCAAGGACTGCTGGGAGCAGTTGTAAAAGCTGCTTCCAAATGACTAAAACAGACGGGAGGGTTTATTTTTAAATACACTGTCATTTGTTAAAACAGATTAGTTTTTGAAATTCCCCAAACACCTAAACCCTCAGAAAGAAAAATCTGCCTTCTGCACCTATTAGAAGGTATTTTTGGCATCTTCTGGGTCCTAGTGAGTGTTTGGTTGCTGAGAGGGCCCAGGAAAAATTCCTCCAGGATCAGCTCAGAGCAGGATGGTCTGTTTTTAATGTCAGCAATTGAAAGATGTTTGTGCTCAAGCCTCTTGCCACTAAAATGGATGGACTTTGGAAGACACTGATGAAAACCAGAATCAAATGATGGACAACACACAAAAAGGGGGTGAGAAGGAAGGAGCTGGACTACCCGGGGGGTCCCAGAGCCCCCCAAGGGCAACATGGGAACACTCCCCCGTTCATATGCTAACTTGCCACCTGAGAGTAGCCTAGGACTGTGAGGTACTTGGGGCCCTGTGGAGAGCAAGGCACACTGGCCCCTGCTCTGCTGGAGCTTACAGCCTGGGAGGGAGCAGACTTGGCACTAAGAGAAGTTCCTCAGTGATAGAAATCATGATAAATGCTGCACAGGAGAAGTCTAGGCAGCACAAGCCAGATAAAGGGGACCAAGTTCAAGACTGAAAAGTCTGGAAGGCTTCCCTAAAAGACAAATGGGGCCGGCAAAGAGGAAGATGGAGAAAAGTGTCCCATGCAAAGAAAACTGCCTCTGTAAGGAAGAACAGAGCACTAGCTCCAAGAAACTTCATAGGCTCCTGTGGTTGAAGGAGAGAGATGGGTGGCAGGTGGCACTGCTTTCTGTTGGGAATGGTAACAATGCTGATCTAGCATCACCTATATAGCCAGACAATGACACTTGTCCTACCCTCCTTATGATCAAAGGTTTGGATCTGAGGAAGACTGGGCAAGGCTGGGGTCCATTTACATGGCCTTAGAACTGCTAACAGGCCAATGAGAGATTCAGCCTATGGTGTTGGTCTCAACAGTTCTCCATCTTTCCATAACTTGGGTCACATTACAGTCTCCTAATTGCTTTCTCTGCCTCCAGCATTGTCCCTCTTAAATCCATCCTCCACCCAGCTCTAAGAGAAGTCTTCCTAAAAGGCAGCTCTAAGTAAGTTTCCCACCTGCTTAAAAACCTTTTATGGCACACCCATGTTCATAGCAGCACTAATCACAATAGCCCAAAGGTGGGAACAACCCAAATGTTCATCTACAGATCAACAGATAAATAAAATGTGGTCTATCTGCACAATAGAATGTTATTCAGCCTTAAGAAGAAAAGAAATTCTGACACATGCCACAACATGGATGAACCTTGAAGACACTATGCTAAGTGAAATAAGCCAGATGCGAAAGGACACATCTTGCATGATTAAGAGGTACCTATGATAGGCAAAAAGGTAAAAGGCCTTTTCATAAAACAGAAAGTAGAATAGAGGTTACTACGGGCTGAAGGGATGGGGAGAATGGGAGTTAATGTTGAACGGGTGCAGAGTCTCTGTTTGGGATGATGAAAACCTTTCTGGCAATTGATAGTGGTGATGGTTACACAACACTGGGAATGTACTTAATGCCACCGAATTGGATGCTTAAAATGATTAAAATTGTAGAATGAAACAAAGCAAACAAATAAACAAACAAAACTCTTTGATGGCTTGCCGTGCACTCAGAGTCAAACCCAAGCTGTTCAATGCATTCTGGTTCTTTTCTGCTTCCACACCGCTGTCCCCCAGGACTCCACCTATAGCCAAATGTCCAGGAGGCCTCCCGCACTCGGCTCAGATGCTCCCTCTCCAGGGAGGTGTGCCTCCACTCTCCGTCCTTCCCCCATGCTTGGCTGAGGCCTTCTCTCTGAGCCCCCCGAAGGCCCTATTTTAAATGTCTACTTTAAGAGTTTGTCTCCCACCTCCCAGTAACTACAAACTTCCTGAGAACTTGGGCACATATTATTTATGATGGCATTGCCAGTACCTAGCACAGCACACCTGGAACAAATTGGATGCTCAATAAAATTAGAAGTTAATCAATGACAGAACAATAGACATCAGAGCTTATGCTGTGGCCAACCAGGTAATTTCCTCCATCATGATTATTGTCATCATCACCATCATCATCATCATCACTGTCATACCTAGCAGGCACATCGGACCATCCAGTAGAAGTGTGAGTACTGAGTTCTATTCTTTGCTTCCATTTATTGAGAGAGGAGATAATCAATGGTTTAGACCACTAAACCCTAATGAGGCACTGCCGGGCAATAGAGACACTTCATCTAGAATTCTTAGCACTTTAAACGCAAGTGGAGAGTAGTCAGAGGAGCTCTTCAGCATCCTGGAATCACACATTCATGCAACGATGGCCATAAGCAGGATTCATACACAGGACAAAGAATAACAGAAATATAAGCAATTGAAACCAACTGGTTGTGTGAGGCAGGGGAGAACCCCGCCCCTGGCCAGCACATACAGTAAGACTGCAGCTGGAACACACCACTCACCATCAGCACAGCCCTCCTGAAGAGTCTGGAGTTGGTGGCCCTGGTCGTGAGAAGATGGATGCTGGCCACGTCAGCTCCGCCACGATCTGCTGAAAGGGACACGCGCCGAGGGTCCCCACCAAACTCTCTGATGTGGTTCTGCACCCAGGTCAGAGCTGCCACCTGGTCCAGGAGCCCCCAGTTGCCACTCACTTCACTGGACCCTTCAGAAAAGGAAAAGGCCTTTTACCTTTTGTGATTTTGCAACCTCGGATTTACCAATCATGGTGCTGTGCATGCCAGACAGGAGACTCCTCCAGGGCCCCCCGGCTCTTGTCCCCACAGGTCAGGACTATGAGGAAAGTGGGAAGAACACAGGCTTTGGAATCATATACACCCAGGCTTGAATCCTGGCTATAGCCTTTGCTAGCTAGGAGAACTTCGACATGTCCCTTCACCTCCCTGGTCCACAGCTTTGTCACTGTTAGATGAGGGCAGTTGCTGGGGCAGCTGCTCAGATTAGAGGCAATCCATGTTGAGTTCCAGCACCTGGTCAGCCCATCCACTGGGGAGGAGTTGAAGTCCTCAACCCTCTTTCGCCCCCCACTGCAGGTGGCACCCTGGCAACCGCCAGGCCAGGATCCCATTCCTTCCCAGCACCTCATCTGTTATGCTTTTAACAGCACGCAACTGAATTTCTCTCTTTCCTCTTTTATAGAGTTCATAAATATTTGTTGAAATCCCAGCATTATTTTCTTTCTGATGAAATGGTTCATACACTCACAAAAAATGTATAGCAAAAACATGCTCTTCTCCTTAGCTTTTTGGGACACGGGCTTCTGGTTGTCTGTGAATTCAACAGACCCTCCTTGTCAGTCCACTCCACTAATGGCCTCCATCGTCAAACCCTGAAACAGCAGACTTCATGCTGGTCTCAACCGAGGTTCACACACTTCTTTCCCAACTTCGCCCTGGGAAAATGCATCAGAATCCACTGGTCCCATTACCACCTGGTGTGTGGATGGCTCTCAGGGGGAGGTTAGAAGCCTAAACCACTCCCTGAGCTCCAGAGTCCTCACATTTCTCCATGATGTACCATAGTTATGATTAATAGGACTCAGTATCGACCAAGACCCCATATTCCCAAACAGGAAAAAACAGAAAAATCTTGCATCTTGATTCCCCGAGCTGGTGGTATTCACAAAGCTGAAGAGAACACCAGCTCAGAATGCACGACAACATAATACAAATTATTCTTCCAGCTGCAGAGACTTTCAGAATTTCTTCAAATGCTTCTCATCTTCTGGGTCTGGTGAAGCCATTGACACAACCTGACTGCGGAATTTCTGGATTGTGTGTATATTCCATTTGTTAGGATGAATGGGTTGTTTCCTCTGAGGTCTCAGGCAGCACAGAAAACCAAGGCGCTAACTGAGCAGGATCAAGTCCTGCAAATTTGGGAAATGTCATCCATGGCCCACATTTCCAGCAATAATGAGGAGAGGGAATGTTCCCAACTCTACTTCCCAAGCATCAGCTTCCCACTACCTAATAAGGGCCAACGCTGACATTCTGGGTCTACAGACTCCTGGAGGTCAGAGGTTAGGAAGCGTTCGAGAGTTCTGCCAACAAACAAGCATGGACTGGGCTTCACCTGGTGCCGATCACTGTGCTGGGTAATGCAAAGAGCAAGAGAAACAAGATCCTGGCAGAAGGCAGTTAGCAAGCAGCCACGGTCTGAGATCGGCTGGTCCAACCCTTTGCTTCACTAGTGAAGAAACTGCAACTTGAGAGGGAAAGAGTCTATTTCGATGCAAGAAGTGAATTTGAAATCAAGTTGGGACTCAAATGCTAATTCACAACAGAACTCTTTGTTCTTGCAGCTGTTTTACTAAATTAGAGGGCAGGTGTAATACATTCAACCCAAGTCAACAAACATTTGTTGAAAATCTATGATGTGTATTAAGAAATTTAAGCACTCCACTTACGAAATTGCTCAAAAAACTTCTGTAACTCCCTCATTCCTATTGCATCAAGTCTGAACTCCTTCCTGGCTTTTCGAATCCTCTACAACTTGTCCTCAGCCTGCCTGATCAGTCTGTGTGAGGCTCAGCCCCGCTTCTGCTCACCCTCAGGGACCACCTCACTCAGCCATTCCACACACATGCATGCTGTGCCCTGCTGGTATGCAGCATGGCTTGGCCCGGGGGCAGGACCTAGAGGGGGCTGCTCTCAGCCGCCCAGGTGTGTACAGCCTGGAAAGGAGACTAGTGTGCATGGCCGATTCCGGATATTGAGATAACACTCTTCTCTATGCACCCCTTCCCACCCTGGCCTGCCCCTGCACCTCCAGTCTCTTACCCCTCTGCTCAGGACCACCCAGCAAAAGTTCAACTGACCCTCATTGTCTGATTGGCTCTCACCTGCTCATTTGATTTTTTCAATGACCCAACATTAGTCCCTTAGCACAGCTCTGGGCCCACAGTAGGTTTTCATCCCAGTCTTGTCAATGAACATCAGTGAGAGGTAGCACAGAGTGTGGATGTGGAGCCAGACCAGCCGGCCGCAGTCACCGCTCCACCACAAACTAGCCGCGTGAAGCCCTGCACAAGTTACCTCTGCTTGTGTGTTGTTATGATGATTAAATTAGTTAAATTTGTGAAGGGAACAGAACAATGCCTGGCATAAAGCACTTTGATTTATTTTTTGATAAAATAGAATGTTTAGGTCCCAACATTATCTCACGATGCTCTTAGAAGGGCAGCAGAAATAGCACCTGTGATGAGGTGCCTGCTGGGGCAGGATTCTGTCTGTTCTCCTAGTTAGAGAGGGTAGCAGACCCTCTCAGCGAGCCTCCGAGTGCCGCAGGAATGATGAGGTCATGCAGCACGTGGTTACTGGTGGCAGCAGGGCCTCTGTCTGGCTCCCTGGCAAAGCACACTTGCTCTGTTCCCATGCCCTGTGGAGGGCCTGCAGGTCCCTTGTCCACTCTCTCCTCCTCTGTCCCTGCAAGCCACACCCAGTTCCCCTCACTGCCTGCTTCGCCAGAGAGCAGGACAATCACTGGGCACTGGATGCCCCAGGGGTCTGACCTGCCTCCAGGATCCAGGCTTGAGGAAATGGCTCCCCAGCCCACCACTAATCCCCTTGCTTTCTTTCCAACTGCTCATTTCAAAGGAACCATGGCTCCCTTTAAATACTGGGCTTGGTTCACCTTTTCTCAGCAGAGAGCAGGAGATTGTCTCATCTGCCTCAGGACTGGCACAAGCTTCTGTTTTCATCTTTCTCTTGTCTCTTTTGAAAAGTGCCTCTAGAGTCTGGGGCTCTCAGAGGATCATTTTTGTGCAGGGATACAACAGCAGATGCCGCACACATCTATTAAGGTAGATGATGTACACAGAGTGACTACTCAGCCTGACACAGTAAATGGCAGAGGCTGCAGCTGCTGTGATCAGAGGCTGGGCTGGGAAATGTCGATGACACAGCCCTGCCTTAAAAGAGCCCCTGTCTAGGGAGAAAAGGGGGGAATTAACAGGTGTGGGCCCTTCTAGGTGCCAGGCAAGGTCCTGGGGCTTGCTTTTCACACACTTCATCTCATGTAAACCACCCCATGGTCTTGACATCTTCTGTTGACAGATGGGCAGTCTGCGACAGGATGCAGAGAACAAGAACTGCCCAGAGCCCCCACCCCACAGAGCAATGGAGCAGCTCTCAGACCCTGTCCTGTTCAGAGGCAAAGCCTATGCTCCCTGCAGGCCCCAAGGCTGAGGCTGACACTCATAGAAGCCAGCTCTTTGCAGACATATGTTCTGAACTTCAGTTTTCAACTATTTAAAACTATGGGGCCAAGTCCGTGGCGCACTCGGGAGAGTGCGGCGCTGGGAGCGCAGCAGCGCTCCCGCCACAGGTTCAGATCCTATATAGGGATGACCGGTGCGCTCACAGCGCTCACTGGCTGAGCACGGTGCAGCTGGTCTCAAAAAGGACAAAAAAATAAAAAAATAAAAATAAAAAATAAAACTATGGAAAAAGGAGGGGGGGTGCTGGTCGGTTAGCTCAGTTGGTTAGAGTGCAGCCTTGTAGCACCAAGGTCAGGGGTTTGGAACCCCATACTGGCCAGCCCCCAAGAAATAAATAAATAAAAATAAAATGGAAAAGGGGGGGATTACTGGATGGAGCACAGAAAGTTGTAGGGCAATAAAACTATTCTGTATGATACCATGACAGTGGATCTATGCCATATGCACTTGGCAAAACCTATAGAACGTCCAATGCAAAGAGTGAACCCTAATGTAAACTATGGACTTTAGTGAACAATGATGTACCAAGATTGGTACATCAATTGTAACAAATGTGCCATAACACCAAATGTGCCATTAACACCAAAGCATCATGTTAATAATGGGAAAACTGAGGGTGGGGGAAGGGGCGTGTATGGGAACTCTCTACTTACTGCTCAACTTTTCTGTAAACTTAAAACTACTCCAAATAATAAAATCTATTTTATTATTTTTTTAATGAAAAAGGGGATGGTTGTGTCTGTGTTGTAGGTTTATTGGGGGGATTAACTGAGATCAAAGGCCTGCGCATTCTCCTTCCAGGAGTGTCCTTTCAGGTGGTGAGCACCTGCTTCCTGTTGGCTTCTATCCAGTGCAGAGCCTTGTCACCGAATTTGCTCGTGGCAGGTGGGAGACAGGCTCATGTGTAGTTAGGAGGCCTGGGTCTGCACCGTAGCTCTGCTCTCCCCACCCACTGCCACTGTCTCTATGCCTCAGTTTCCTGATTGGCTTGATGAGGACAATAACGTCTTTGCTCCCCGCTAGGCTGACCTGTTGGAGCAGCAGTGAAAGAGAACCAAAAGCTCCGAAACGTGGGACATGCCAGGAGGTCTAGTAAATGAAACAAAGAAAACCACCTGTGCCTGCATGAACGCAAAGGACGGGTCCTGCCCTGTACAACTGGAGGAAGAACCAAAAAGGCGCTTCTGGACATTTGAGGGACAAGCTGTAACACGTTACTTCTTGTTGCTGCTGTTTGACCAACAGAGTTTGACACCCAGTATGTCATTTGTGACCGTGGGTAACAAAGTTGCTTAGCCTGCCTGAGCCTCAGTGTTCCCACTGTGAGTTGGTCACTCGATCCAGGCCCCGCAGAGCTGCCGTGAGAGCTAAACGAGGTAAACCAGGCGACATATCTGGTAAAGAGAAGTGCTCGGTAAGTGCGACTCTCCTCTCTTGTTGACAGTCTTTCCTTTGAGTAAAATGAACAGGCAGCATTGGTGCAAGTCAGAAATGAGAGCGGTTGGGTGTTCTGGAAACTTCTGTCGCCTCCCCACATGCTGCCCCCGCTGGCAGCCAAAATGAGAGATTGCCTCTCCAGAAGCACATGAATTCTCAACCAGATTATGCTCCGTGAAATCACAGAGGCCCACCCCCTCGCAGACAGACGACATATGGAAACTCGTTCTCTTCTGTTTAGAAATGCTCCGAGCCAAAAACTCAGCCATGTCTGGGAAACGCTCCGCGGCCCACAGCTCGGCAGGACGAGTCCTGACTTTCACCCGCCTCTTCAGAGGAAGGAGCTACTGACTTAACAAATTATTGTCCGTCTTGCATTTGAAAAGAGGAAAGAAAACCCAGGCAAGGAGTTTTCCCTCTTTGAAGAAGAAAATAAATTCACATGTGAATAATTCTTTACACTCAACAAAAAGCTTCCACAAGACCCCAGCCAGCACATTGACTTCTCACCGACATATACACGTGCGAGAGGGTGAGGACAACTCCCTTATTTTACTGGTAAGAAAACTGGGGTTTGGAAGGGCCACATGAGGGACCCCAGGTCTCTCAGACAGAGAATGGAGAGCCAGAAAAGAGGAAGCTGCATATATTCTTAGGTTCCCAGTGGACCGCGTTCCTCCTAAAGAAAAATCTGAGATCTGTTTATCATCTGTGTCTCCCACATTGGCATCTGGTTGTATTTTGCCTTAACTTGTTGCCAATTTCATAGGCCAAGAATCATCTTGTTTGTTACTGGGCCTAGAATCTTCTTTGTGACTGTCAAGGCCTCACGCCACATGGTCCATCTGGCCCTCATTCCTCAGCACCCTTGCATTTCTGCTCATGCCAGATGCCCACCCCACTCGTGTACGTCCCAGTCCATTTCGTCATTCTGGCCATCCTAACTCCCGCCCGCCCGTCCATACTCAGCACGTAAGACATTCTAGGTCTTATATGAGATCTTTGCAAAACAGAGATGAAGCTCAGTCTTTGCAAGTCACAGTCAGAGACTTGTATAACCCACTGCAGTATCTAAAACCCCTTGACATGTAAGAGTGGAGCCTCACAGTAACTTTGAAAATTGAGTAAAATCACCCCATTTTACAGAGGAGAAAACCAAGAGATTGGGAGAAAGGAAGGGTTTTGTCAGAGGTCACAGAACCAGTGAGTGGCAAAGCTGCCCTTGACTCTTCAGGTTCCAAGGCCAGTGCGTCTACCCTCTGCCACCGCAACCTGATGCCTCCCCCACTGTTGCTGGTGGCTGGAGATGGAGAAGAAGATGTGGATGGAGCAGGTTTGGGTTGGTCCAGGGCTCAATTCTGCCCTGGTGGTTGGTGGGGAGAACAGAGAGCGTAGCATAGCCAGGGTGATAAACAGGTTTGTGCCTGGATGGGGGACAGGCCCATGTTCACAAGTGAGGCCAGAATTAAAGGGCAGCAGGAACATTTTATTGATACAGCCCTCACTCGGAGTCCGATGGCTTCCCTGGGACAGAAGAGCTACAGTCCATTCCTCAGAGATGTCCAGGGCAAGTCAACCCCTGGTGAGTCCTGGCTCTACTCCTCACCATATGACCTTGAGCCAGTTTCTCACCTCCTTGGGCTTCAATTTCCTCATGCACACACCCACACATCACAAGATAAACCATGTGATGTACTTGGAACAGCTTCAGACACATAGTACGTTTTCACAAATGGCAACTGTTATTCTCATGTACGGGTACCAGCATTGCTGGAGGGTCTCATGAATGTGCTAGAATTTCCACCAGGTGCCTCACTGGGCTCTAGGAGCAGCAGAGGCAGCGAGGTGTGGGGCTTCGGGAAGAAAGGGCTGAATATACACAGAGGGCGAGTCTCGGCTCAGGGCGAGCAGCCCCATCAAGGCCAGCAACTCACCGGAGCTCAGGAAGCCGAAGACGCCCACTCGGAAGCCGGCAGTGACCACGATGAGGTTGCCAACAGCCGCCAGGAGGGAGCCATCGATTGCCAGCCGCCCTTCACTCCCCTCCCCCGCCATGGCATTGTGGAAGAACACCAGCACGGACGCATTGGGGGCCTGCGGGGATTGGAGAAATGTGGGGATTAGAGGTCGGCCTGTTAATTTTACCCACAAGAGCTGGGCAAGGACAACTTTCCCAGGCTAGGAGCCAGCTGAGCCCATATACACCTCCTCCTGTCAACTCTGCCCTGTAGACACACCTAGCACCGTGTAATGGGCTGCACCGTGCCCCCAAATCCATACATTGAAGCCCAAGCCCCCAGTACCTCAGATGTGAGTGTATGTGGAGATAGGGCCTAAAGAGGCAGTTAAGGTAGAACGAGGTCATATGTGTGGGTCCTAATCCAATATGACTGATGTCATTATAAGAGGGGGGAATTAGGACACAGACGTGTGCAGAGGGAAGACCATGTGCTGGCATGGGAGGAGACGGCATCTACAAGGCAGGGAAAGAGGGAGGCCTCAGAAAGAACCAACCCTGCCCACACCTTGATCTCACACTTCTGCCTCTAGAATTGATTTCTGTTCTTGTTCAAGCCACGCAGTCTGTGATATTTCGTTACAGCAGCCTGAGCAAACTATTAAACCCCATTTTACAGACAAGGAAACTGAGAGTCACAAAAAGTGAAGACACTTTGCCTGCACTGCATTTGAGCAAGCGGCAGGAGTGGCGGCTCACTGCAGACCTGAGCCTGCCCCAGGGTGCCGTGCAGTCCCCCAGCACCCCGGTTCTGGCCCACAGTGTATTCCAGAAGAGCGGTTTGGGTCCTCAGTGACTCCTACCAGTTGGCCACTCTGTGACTGAGACCCCACTTGGTAACACACGGCTATGGTGTTTCAAGCACTTACTCTGGGCCAGGCAGTGTCCTCACTACACGTTATTCACTTAGTCCTCACACAGCTCTATGGAGTTGGCATATTATCATTATTCCCATCTTACAGATGAGGAAGCGGAGGCTTGCAGATATTAAATAGCTAGTCTGAGCTCACACAGCCAGGAGGTAGTAGTGGAGCTGGCGTTTGGACCCAGGCTGGCCCTTTTACATGAGAACCTTATGCTCCATCTAGGGCTCCATTGCCCGACTCCAGGCCATGGTATATGCCAGTCACCAGGTGGTGCACGCACCGTCCAGGGTCCTGACTACATGCATGTGCAGTGGCCTCTGACACACAGATGCTCCTACACAAGGGCCCCTCACTAACAGCAAACACTGACCGACGACCTACCTCTGCGGGTGCTGGGCTAAGTGCTCACACCTAGAATGTCCCCTAGATCTCCCACCCCTGAGGAAGATGCTATAATGGCTATAAGTGCCCATTCTACAGGTGTGAAAACAGAGGCCCAGAATGGTGAAGTAACTTGTTAAAACACCTGTGGAGAGGAAGGGTGAACCCAGAACTCTGGCTCTGATCTCCCTCCCAGCACGCTCTCCTGGGCACTTTTCTCTGTGACATTTCATTTCAGGGTCACCACTCGCAGGAACTGTGAATTCTTCAAATCAGAGGCCTTTTAAAATGCCACAGCAAAAGGCTGGCTCAAGCGGTCTTGGTTTCACTTGTTCTGGGATGTTGGATAGGTCATGAATGCATCCCATACTCCTTCCTGAAAGTGCTCAGAGTGATTTTTTTGGGAAGCACCTCAGCAAGAGAGAAGGCTGCTCGGCCTGCTGCCAGCCCCTGCTGATGCGATGAGGCCAAGACGCAGAGATGGCTGTCAGTTCTCAGCCTCTGCGACCACGGTAGCAAGAAGGAAATGTCTAGACACTGGCCCCTCCTCTGTAGGGCCCTCCCCTGGCTGAGGTCAGTGTTCCTCCCCCAAGGTCAGGGTCGGGCCAGGGAAACAGCCCTAGACAGATATGGCAAAGCTCTCTTTGGGAACTTCCCTAAGGGAAGGAGCCCTGGATTTGGAGTCAGGAGATGGGACCAAGCCTCCACTCTGTGCAGCTGTGTGTCCTAAGTAAGTCATTTTAACCTCTCTTAGTCTCAGATCCTGCACCTTTAAAATGGGGGAGGGGGAGACTTATATCTCATATCTATATATTTATTTTATCTATCAATTTATCTTCCTTGGAGAGTTGATGTGAAGAGCGATGAAATCATAGATATAAAAGTGCTCTGTAAACTGTGAACTACTGTCACAAACTTCTCGCTGATATTATGGCAAAAGTAAATCCTCACTGGTCACCTCTCACTAGTCCTAGCCATGCACTCTGGGGCCCAACTGACCACATCTATGGCAATCACTCGCTAGCTGAGTTATCTTAAGCAAGTCACCTAGCCTCTCTGAGCCTTGGGCTTTACATCTGTGAAATGGGTATAATGTCTCCTAGAGGTGTTATGAGGATTAAGGACGTATGCTGTGGGGCATGCAGCAGAATGATGGCAGAAGCCTCCAGAGATGGTCTCTTCCTTCCCTTTCCCTTCCTCCTGCAACCCCTTCCATGTTGCCGGGTAGCTCCTACATTGTCCATGTGTTTCTTTTCTCTTCTAGGCTGAATGACTCTCGTCCCTTTAGGAGTCGTCTCAATCCTGCTCACTCTCCCACTCAAACAACTCCAACTCCACTGCCATTTCCAATGTCTCTCTCACTACTTGATTAGTTAGTATGTGGCAGGCCCACTACTGAGCACTTAAACACGCATTGTTTTCTTTAATTCTCATAAGAACTTTAAGATGGCAGATGCTATTTCTTTCCTCACTTTCAGAAGAGGTAACTGGGGCACCGAGACTTGAGTTACCTTCTCTAGGACAATGAGGTAGAGCCAGGACTTAATTCACATTGCAGGTGTGGTGTGCCCAGCACTGGGCAGAATGGAACTCCATCATCTTCCTCATTTAAGGCCCCACACTTCCATTAGTGCAGCCAGTGAGAGCTGTCGCATTTTTTGTGGCCTCATTGCAAAGCTCATTCAGATCACCTTGCTGTGGCCAAACCTCCCAGGTGCAGTTAGTGTCACTACTAGTAAGCTAGGTGTCCAGGAAGTGGTGGGATCCATCAACACATAACAGGTTGGCATCACCAGAAACTATGTTTCCTAAAACTCATCATCTCCTTTTTCTCTCATGCACTCTGACCTTTCTCCACAAAACAAGAAAAGAACACTCAACACCAGGACTGCAATGGGCTACTTAGGCAGATGCAGGCTTCAAAACAGCATAATGGGATTCCAGGTCAGTCCCAAAGCTATCCTTCTTCTGCCTCAAACAAGAGTCCACAGGGAAAGCGCCACGGAAGTGCTCTGGAGGGGGTCTTTACAAGGAGAACAGTTTCCTCCTTTGCAGACTGATTGGAATCCGGCTCCTTTCCCACCAGTGGCCCCGTGGCCCTCTCCAAGGCGGCGGCAGCCCTTCCTTCCTGGCCCTCGCCCCTGCACGTGGCCCAGCACCCTCCCCCTATGCCCTGCTCAAGCCTCACCTCCCAACAACCCCACCGACGCCTCTGGTCACCTGTTGTCTCTCCACCCTGCTATTTTTCTTCACAGTACTTATTAACACCATAACTTATTCAATATCTACTTGCTTATTTATTTCTGCCCCTCCCACTAAAATGTCAGCCTCATGAGGGCAGCAACTCTGGCTCATTGCGGCCCCACCTACAACAGTGCCCTGCCCCTCACAGCCCCTTTATCAACATTTCTTAAAGAACTGAGTCGGGACAACAGTCCACCCTGCATGGTGTGGTGGGTGAAGATACAGAGAGGGTGGGATGAGGTCACGTAGGAACCAGGGTCCCTCTGCTCACTCCCAGTCATTCAGGTCTCCACGAAGCAAAGAGCCAGCTGGGGACGGCAGCGGAGGCACACAAACTAAGCAGACCACGGAGAGGTGAGTGAGCAGTGCTGGCAGCTGCGGGGACAGTGGATTTCTAGTGGGAGAGTTTTCAGGACAAACATAGCAAGTGCTTCTGAACTCACCACATTCTGAGGGACAAACACGTTGAGATACAAGCAGTCCTCGCTGACCCCGGGAGGTGTGGGTGTTTGGGTGCCCGGCTGCCAGCAGCTGGCCCTGCAGACACAGATCACATGAGTCCTGGGAGAAACTAAGGGGACCTGCCCAGTCTCCCCTCCCAGCCCACCACCCATGGCCAGAGCCCAGGGCCCGTTCCAGAGGCCTGATGTCCCACCAGCTCTGTGGCAAAGAGGCAGCTTCAGGAAATGGCAGTGGCCAGTGGATGGAAGGAATAGCAGGGTGCCATCACTCTCTCTGGCTGCTGGCTGGTGGAGAAAAATTCTCCAGGGACAACGTGCCAACTCAGAGAGAAGGGGCTGACCCAATGGCCCTAGACGGGAGATAATGGATGGGGCTCAGGACCTGAGCCCTTCCTCCAGGTGTGCAGACCTTTCACTGGATGAGCTGTCTGACCTGCTTTCAACACCATAGCAGAATCTCGCGGTGCCAGTTTGAGCACTTCCCGGGATAGAAGCTGAGACCACATCAGGGACCATGCCGCATGGCAGCATAATAGTAATCTGCCCAAAAGGCGACTTGACTCATTACCCATGCCTCACCAGCCCTGGGCTAGCATGACCCAAGCTCTCCAATCACTTTCCACTCAAGACTGTGTGACTCGATCACCGCATCTGCCAGATGCGTATATCCTAACGTGTACGCACTCTAATGAGCGCACATTTGTTTTTTTCGTTTCCCAGGGGTGGAGCACACAATCCATGCCTTTCTGCATTATGTTCTAGCTTACGCCTCCATCATCCTTTTCCTGGAGTGTCAAGCACCTGGAGCTCATCACTCCATCTGCCCATGGGCCTGTGACCTGCTCAGCAGCCAGCCATGGGTTGGAATGGATGTGGAGGACGCAGCTGCTGAGGACAGGGCTGCGGATGCCTTTAGGAGGGAAGGCAGGTGGGAGGGGGAGAGCAGCAGTTATGGGTGCTCTTTCCACAGGCACTCGGAATATGGTTTAATTAGGAAAAAAAAATCACAATTGTTCTCCAATATGTCAAAAACAAAACAAAACAAAACAAAACAAAAAACCTCCTTGTAATATTGTCCCTATTGGGGAAAAAAATCTTTTAAAATATTTTCATTAGCTCATTTACTTTTCCTTTAATGCTAAATTTGCCAGCCCCATTAAATGCAGATGTGGCCAGGAGGCTGAGATTGGCTGCTGCGATACTGGTGCAAGTGACATATGTACGCCACCTCCAGGCTCAGCCCATAGGAACCTCCCCTGCATATTTTTCCACATCCTCTGTTTCCTAGATGCAATGTCCAGGGCAACCTCTGAAGATTTCTGCTGAAGAAGGCAGAGCTTCTATCAGCCTGGGTCCCTGAATCACTACATGGAGCAGAACACACAAGTCCCTCCATCACCAGGTGGACTTTACACGAGCAAAACAGTTAAGCCACTGATATGTAGGGGTTTCCTGCTATAGCACTTAACACTACCTTAGCTAATGCATCACCACCCCCACAGGAGAAGGCTTCTCTGGGCGCTCACCAGAATGTTCTCTTCTCAGCCCATACCTTGGCTTGCTGGCATCCCAGGAGCCTGTCCAGTCCAAGGGTCCTGGTGCCTGGAAGCGGCTTTCTTCCAGGGGTGGGGTGGCATATGGAACTCCAAGGAACTGGTCCACTTGCCTCCACAAAGTGCCCACCTGTATGGCTTGAGATCTGCCCAGCAGCCGGCCATGGGGGACAATGGTCACAGAGGGTGCAGATGCCTCAAAGCCAAGCAGAGGGATGCCTGCTGGGAAGGAAGGGGAGGGGAGAAGGGGAGGCCACAGTGAGTACTCTACTCCCTGATGTTCTGAATGTGCTCAAGCAAGAGAATAAAAACCACTTCTTTTTGTACCTTGAAAATGTCAGTAATTCATTCAGACCCCCATGGCTTAAGTCTAGTTAGTTTACAGTGTGAACAACAACAACAAAAACTATCAATAGCAAAGACAGCTGATCTTCATTAGGCCCCAAATATGTGCAAAGGGCATTGCTAATCCCTTCTGTACATGATCTCCTGGGTTCTTCCCAGTCGGATGAAAGGCAGATGCGACCCCAAGCCCACGTCCCCTACCCAGCACCCCGGGCCTTGAAGAAGAATGAGAACCATGCAGTGAACAATCTGCAGTCCTCCGAGTAGAGCCCCATCATCAAGGGCATCAATTATTTCTGTGATGAAATGTATGGATTATTCACACTAAGAAGGATGAATAAAGTATATAATTTCTTCAGTCACTTCAGCTCAGATTTTTGCCACCAAGTGAATTTGCTGCAAACTTACAAAAATAAATTGACTTCTAAACTTTTGGATTGCAGAATTGTAGCAAAGGGATTGCAGGTCTATGTTTACATTCCACTGGTGAGGAAATAGGTTAGGGGCAGAGGTGGGCATTCTGCCAGGACGACAAGGTGAGGCAGGGTTGAAAGCCGCACCTCTCTGGATCTCAACTCTGACCACGCTCCCATTCTTACAGGGTCAGGGGCCCGTTGAGAGCTTTGCCCTCTCTGCCCCTGTGGCCACAGGTGCCCTTACCTGAGAGACCCTCCTCCACACACCCAATTCCCACCTCGTCCAGAAGGTCAAGACTGTGCCTCAGGCCATCCTGCTCAGTGTCCAAAACTGCTCCCATTTCCCTGCTTGTAATACTATCTCAAGCCACATTTATCAGCTTCTCTGCAGCCCTATCTTATTTCGTCTACTACATTTTCTTTCACTCATTCGTTGGTTCAATAAACTTCTGTTGAGTCTGGGCTCAGTTCCATGTCTTCAGAGACTTGAGACAGGCCTGTGTCTGATTCCCCACTAAATTTAGGGCCTTGTTCAAAGGAAACAATAAATAAACACTCTTGAAGAGATGCACGGGGTGTGTGTGTGTGTGTGTGTGTGTGTGTGTGTGAGAAAAAGAAGTCCCTTATAATTTCTAACAGGTGTGTTTGGTCTGTTCCACTCCACTCTCAGCTATTGAAAGACAAAGCCTTTCTGCTTTCTCTGCAGCTCCTTCTATAAAAATATATATGTTGTAGTTGTGACTAAACAAGCATGGGGGAAAAAGGCAGACAGGCAGAAGTCTATCCAGTCCTTAAAAACTTGATAACATGCAGTGGTTCTCAGCTGGAAGTGATTTTTGTCTCCAAGGACATTCGACCTTGTCTGGAGACATTTTTAGTTGTCACAAGGGTGCAGGAGAGATGCTACTGGCATCTAGTGGGAGAGACCAAGGATGCTGCTAAACAGCCTACAGTAGACAGCACAGCCTTCTCACAACAAAGAATTCCCCATCCCCAAATGTCAGTGGGTTCTGAGGTTGAGAAACCCTGGTGTGATGTCTGTTCATGATTTCCAGGCCACTGAGGTAGAACCAATAGATGGTCTGAGGAGTCAAGCAGAACTGTGTTTTACATTATGGAACAGCTGCTTATTGGGAAAGCTTTGTAATCTTTCTGACCCTCAATTTTCTCACTTGTGAGATAAATAATAGCAGCTCCTACAGCACAACAATGTCGTAATAAATAGCAATACCTGTAATGTTCCAAACCCAGTGCAAATGGCAGGAGTTCAACACATGAGTAAATGAATGAATGAATGAGTGGGAGGAAGAAAGGAAAGAATAGAAAGAAGGAGGGAGGGTGGAAGCAAGGAAGGCAGGAAGAGAAAGAAAGACAGAAAAGAAGAAAAAAGAAAGGAGTGAATAAATCCTTCTCTCTTGCAGAAATATTGGAGTATAAATTAGAAGTCGAAATGGAAACTCAGGATGGAAAGAATTAGCTGTTGTTTTTATATCTGGCCTCAACACAAATCATGACTGATCTCACCCCTACAGTTCCTTCTCACAGGATTTCCTGTTACAATCATAAATGAAAGGGTCTCAGTCAAGCATTCAAGATTGTGGCTGCCGAAGTGGCAGAACCTTCTTTTGCTTTGCAGGAATGAGCCACACTTTATGAACGTGGCATCATCTGCACGCAGGAGCAAAGCCAGAAAACACAAAAGCTAAAGAATTTCGAGGGAATGCAAGTCTGCTTTCTCATGGACAGTGGTATTTAATCCTCCCTTCGGAGGCTGCCCACTAAATCCCAAACTAAATGAAATCAAACATGGGAAAAACATTAGATGTGCAGTTCTCCCTTTTAAATTCTTTTGCAGAAATGGTGGATTCTTTCCAGAATGCCCACATATTTAGGCCATGTGACTACCTGGGTTAAGAAAATTATCTATGGGCATGTACATTATTTGCAAATAAATAATGTCTACATAGACACACATGTGCATCCACCTTCTTTCGGAAGTGAGCCTTTCACATGGAGGTTTAGTCACACTGAATTAACAAAGAAACAACCTAATTTGTGTTTCAGAACTCAAACCTCAACATTAAGGAAGGCATTTCTCAGCAGCACTACTGCACAGATTAGCTACACTATTGGTGAAATGCTCTGTTAAACTCTATCTGGCTTGACTAAGTGATATAAATGTCCAGACAGAAGACACGACTTGAGACTGAACATCTAAAACTTCAGCACTGAGGAATCCAAGCATTGCTGGGTCTGGAAGACACTCTGGTAGTCTGAAGGCTTAGGTAGAGGAGGGGGCAGAAGAGGATGGTGTCAATGGCATCAAGACAGAACTGAAGGACTGTCGATGCTTTAGGACAGAGATGGGGCCAAATCCAGCTGCTACCTGGTGTTGTAAATAAAGTTTTACTGGAACACAGTCCTGACCATTAGTTTACATATTGGTTATTTCTATAAGAAATGAATGGCTGTAGAGCCTAAATATTTATCATCTGGCCCTCTACAAAGAAAATTTGTGACTCCTGCTCTTGGGGACAAGATGGCAGAGGTAGCCAAAACCTTCACAGTCGTTAAGTTTATCCAATCAACACATCTAATGGGGGAGCTGTTTCCTCAACTCCCAGTTTACAGCTCTTACCAGTTTTACTTAGGGATGAATTTATAAGCCACTCTTCCCTTGTCTGTTTCACCCCTGTATCCCCAGCACGTGACACAATGTCTGGCACATATGTTTTTAAATTGAACTCAGCCAGGAACAGCTTCTCTCCTCAAAGTGCTTATGATGTGCTCATTAGGCAGTGTGGGTTTGTGGGAGAGGATCAAATCTCAAGATAGGAGATCTGGCTGCACGTCCCCCTGTGTCATCACTAGCTGCGTGAAATCAGAGAAGTAAGTTAACTTCTCTGGGCTACAATCTCCTAATCTCTAAGATGGGGATAAAGCCCCTTTCCTGCCACCTCACAGAATTAGTGTGAGAATGAAATGAAATAAGGCATGTGAAAGAACTTTCTAAACTACAAAACTAACAAAAGTGGCCTATTTAATTATTTTACTAAGAAACTCAAAGGCCAAGATGGCTTCCATCACTCAAAGTAATAAATGAAGAAAAGTGATACATAAGTAGTTTTTCCTACCTTCCTTCAATCCACACCAGCTCAGGATAACTTTGGCCAACTTTCCCTTAAGTATCTCAAAAGCCACTTCCACCAAGTCACCACGTGCTTAAATGGTCCCTTCCAGACATACCTAGTTTATCAGGAATGGCCACAAAGGCACAGAACTGGGCTTACCTGGCTTCCGGTAGATGTGGGTGGCCTCTTCACGGAGCAGAAGTTGGCAGTTCTGGCCCTGCAGGCTATGTGTGCAGCTCTGGGTGTCAGCATAGAACACACACCTCACAGCCCCAGGTCGAGTCTGCAGAGTGGTGACGATGCAGGCCTGGTGACGGGAACATTCTGTGCAGAAGCAGGAGAAGAGTGAGGCTTGGGCCTCAGAGATGTTATGTCATTCCATGCATCCATCCATCCATCTACTCATCCATCCTTCTATCCAATCGTGCATACATGAACTATCCATCTATCCATGCATCTATTCATTCATCCATCCATCCATCTACACATCCTTCCATTCATCTATCTATTCATCCACCCACCATCCATCCATTCACTCATCCGTCCTTCCATCCAATCATGCATCCATGAGTCTATCTATCCATCCGGTCACCCATGCATCCTCCATCCATGCATCCATGAGTCTATCTATCCATCCATTCACTCATACATCCTCCATCCATGCATCCATGAGTCTATCTATCCATCCGTTCACCCATGCATCCTCCATCCATGCATCCATGAGTCTATCTATCCATCCATTCACTCATGCATCCTCACTCCATGCATCCATGAGTCTATCTATCCATCCATTCACCCATGCATCCTCCATCCATGCATCCATGAGTCTATCTATCCATCCGTTCACCCATGCATCCTCCATCCATGCATCCATGAGTCTATCTATCCATCCATTCACCCATGCATCCTCCATCCATGCATCCATGAGTCTATCTATCCATCCGTTCACCCATGCATCCTCCATCCATGCATCCATGAGTCTATCTATCCATCCATTCACCCATGCATCCTCCATCCATGCATCCATGAGTCTATCTATCCATCCGTTCACCCATGCACCCTCCATCTATGCATCCATGAGTCTATCTATCCATTTTGTTTATTTAATCAATAAATGTGCTCTTGTCATTTCCCTGCTTAAAATACCTCCATGGCTGTCCACAGGATTAAGGATTAAGTCATACCAGACAAGGTTCTCCATACTGCAGCCCTTGCCTTCCTCTTTAACCTTGTCTCCTTCTGCCTCCCTCCATTGTCTCCCAAGCCAGCATCATACCCACCATGTTCTACCAAGGGCCATATCCTTTCCCATGTATGCCAGGTACTGCACTAGACAATTTAAACTATTTCATGGTATTCAATACTAAGAATAGCTCTGAAATAGTGCTGCTTCATTTGATTGGACAAAGTGTGCACGGCTTAAAGGCCCTATTCATAGCCCAGTCTCTGTGAATGGCACCACGCAGAATGTGCAGTGCACAACTTGTACATCTGTGCATGGTGGCCCAGTCTGTAAGGTACACAGGTCTTTGTGCTCATTATTTTCTAACCTTGTAAGGGAGAAGATTCACGGAATTCATGGAATCTTAGAGAGGTTCAGAATCTTGGAGGGGTGTGAATGTTATCTGATGCCAGCCTCTTTCAGAAGTTGAAAATCTTTGTAGAACATTCCTATCAAGTGGTCACTAGCTTTTGTTTAAATAACACCAATGACTGGAAACTCTCTAAAAGAATTATGCATTTATGGACAGCTTTGCCTATTAGAAAGTTCTTTAAATTGCACTGAAAAATGTCTATTTAAGTTTGAGTTTTACCTACAGTTCTTAGCTTTGCCCCATGAGCATCTTTCTTTCTTTCTGGCCAGAACAAATGTATCTCCTCACCATATGGCCCACGTGTTATCTGAGGATGACTGTCAGAGCATCCATGTATTTCTTCTGCCTCAGACTAACTTGCTAGATTCTTCTGATCTTCCTCTGACCTATTTTAATGTCCTTCATGTGCTGGCTAGCTTATCCTCTTGGAGACCTTGACTATGGGCTGTCCTGTGGGGAATGAGGACAGCCCACCCAGGTCTTCTTTCCCAGGTTAATTCCTTCCTGCCAGGCACCCCAGGTTACCCTGGGGTCTCATGGGGTTTCTGAGGTCAGAATCTTAAGCAGCACTTGTGTGAGGCCCTGTCCCACCTATCTGGAGGATGGAAATTCTCTTACCCAACAAGCATAGGTCTCGGGCAGCAGAGAAGTTGCTAGTGGCAGCAGTGCTGACATGGGCAACATCAAATTTCCTGATAGATGAATCGACAACTACTGAAGAGAGGGCCAGGGACTGCCATGAGTCCAGAGAGACTAGGAGAGAAAGCAGGGGACAGTCATATACTTTTATCATCTAGTGCATAATGAAGACAGTGGAGCACTACCCAATGTCCCCAAAGGCAGCCCCTGGGGCATCCTTCTCATGATCTTCACTCTCCAGTGATCTTATAAGTTTTCTATGAGCCAATCTCTGTGATCGAGCCTAGGAATATAAGGGTGAAAAATAAGACAAAACAAACAACAAAAAAGCATGGCTGTTACTATTAAGCAGCTCATAGAATGGGAGAGAATTTGAGAAGACAGGAAACATTGTAATGCAGCTGCTACCAAGCAGTGGTTGGAATAATACTAGGTAATAAGGATAGCAGCCTTAGCAGGTTTACCATGCGGTACTGTGCTTAGGTCTTCATAGACACTGCATCCTTTAATCCTCCCAGGCCCATTGCTCTCTTTAGTGGACACTGTGGTGTGCTGTCCAGGACCCCCTCAGGACCAAGGCTCTCATTTCCCTAACTGGTGGGAAGTTGGTGACTGGTGGCCTCCAACTGAGTCCCTCTCCAGAAATTGCCCTTGGTTTAAGAGAGCTGCCTCCTCTCCCCAGGGATAGCCTGAACCTGAAAACCAGTCTATGTGGTAGACAAAGGCCCGGTGCCCTGGCCCTAAGATAGGACCTCTCTGAAGAGTCAGCCCAGTTTCAGGGCTCACGGGGGGATCAGTGGGGCCATCGTCTGATTTGCATGGAAGCTCTTCTTCCTTGGCCACACTTGCTCCTCTCTTCCCTACAGGCGCTGATCCCCTGGGTGCTCTGCACTGAACTTCCAGCATAAGAATCTGCATCTCAGAGTCCACTTCCTGGAAAACCCCATCTAAGACATCCTCTTTCAAAGATGAAGAAAATGAGGCACGGAGAGGTTAAAGTGACTTGCCTGAGCACACCCTTCCTAAGAGGATGAACGAGATTGAAGCTGGTTCTTTGTACCTATGGAGATGTGCCCTTTGATTGCTCACCGGTGCTGCCTCCCCAGTCATGTACATAAGACACGGCTGTCCCAGCACAAGGGCAGGAGACACAGGTGTAGCAGGCAGAGAGATGGCTTGGGCAGAGGTGAGGGTCTAGTGGAACTCATCTCATTTGGTGCAAAGGCCATGGCCAGAGCCAGGCCATGTGTCCCTGTGAGGACAGGGAATCCTCAACAGTAAGCTTAAGGTTCCACTATAAAGAAAGGACTGTGAGTCGGGTCAATGGGTGTATTAGACTGTCCACAAATTACATTAAAGGGGCTAAAATGCTGCCTCCCAATACAGGCTTCCACGGTCACTTAGGAGCTCTGGTTCTAGAGAGATGTTCAGTGGAGACATGACTGATAGTTAATGGAGAAAATCCCTTTCTTCTTTCTTTCTCTCTTTCTTTTCTTCCTTTTGCTTTTGTCTTTTTCCCCCATAAGATTACAATAGTTTATCCTTTTAATAAATATTTGTCAGCATTTACTTTGTGCTAGCAGGACACTTACGGTTTACAAAGCCTGTTCACTTCATCACCACACTGATCCCCACAGCACCCCACATGAGGGGTGGGGGAGGGGCCCTAAGTGCCCCCTTCACAAATCAGGAGTCCAAAGCTCAGAAAGGTTGTGTGACTTTATCAAAAACTGGGCTCTGCAAAGTGATCAAGTCAGAGCAGAATCAGATCCCTTGGCTCTAAATCAACACTCTTTCCATTCCCTCTGAGTTTCCTAGGTAGCTGAGCATTCTTTCCAGAACATCTCCAGGTATGAAAGGATCTTTGCCTTTGATAGCACTGTGCTCTTAGCTATATGGCGAAGCTTGTAATTGTTATCTCAAACCTGTCTTTGACATCCTGACATATCTTAGTTGGCTCAGGCTGCTGTAACAGAATACCATAGCCTGGGCAGCTTAAATAATAAGTATTTATTTCTCACACTTCTGGAGGCTGGAAGTTGGAAATCAGGGTGCCAGCATGGATTCTGGTTTACACATGGCTACTTTCTTGCCATACCTTCACATGGCAGGGAGAAGAGAGTGAAAAAGCACCCTGTCTCTTGTCTATTCTTAGAAGGGCATTAATCTCATCATGAAGGCTATACCCTCATGGTCTAATTACCTCCCAAAGCCACCAACTCTTATACCATCCTACTGGGGGTTGGTCTTTCAAGAAATAAATTTGAAGGGCACATAAGCATGCATTTCATAACATGCCACCACTTTTTTTTTCTTAAGAAAAAAAGAAAAAAGAGAAAGAAAAGATTCATTCAGACTTGTTGCCAAATAATGTAAGCAGATTTCACCCGAGCTCAGCTAGAGGAGGACGACCCCCCATACTCTGTCCTGGAGCCCTGGGCATCACCAGCTCAACTTAAGAGTTCTCCCCATGTTGCTACTTTTATGGTCAATACAAGTGGCATTTTCACAGCATGATCAAACTGAGCTGCGTATTTTTAGATGGTGAGTACACTGCAATTTTAGAGAAGAGTTATGATGGGGTTTCAGGACCAAAGTTTCTAATTATGGCCTTAAAATGGAAGTGTTTGTCCCACTCCATGTTTAGGCTGATGTCTGGAGAAAGTGCTATAATTGAAAAGTGAATTTATTTCCAAAGTGAAATCCAGCTCATCTGTTGCCATTCCAGGGTCTGGAGCCAAGTCCCTGCCGTGCCACCTGCACAAACCCCTGGATGAGGCATTGCTGTTATGCAGAATCCAACACCTGGGTGTGCATGTGCATCTCACAAACACTGTAAGAGCAAACTCTTTGAAAGCATGATGAAACATGAAAGCTTGGGGGCCTTGGTAGCATTTTGTGAGAGTTTACTATCTGCCAGGAACATGCAATACCATTGCATTAGTACACACAATAACCCATGAGGCTGGCACTGGTACTGTCCGTGCTTTACAGACAAGGACACAGGCGATCCAGTAACACACCCTTTTGCTTAGCCAGGTGGCTCAGCCAGTATCAGCTTAGCCAATGAAGCAGTGGTGCTGGGGCTAGAGCCGAGCTTCCTCAGGTACAGACCCAGAGTTCACTATACTGCTGACCTCCTCTCCAGGTGAACAAGGTGGGAGCAGCTTTCAGGTTTACCCAATGGGGGAGTCCTGTGCTAAAAAGCAGACACTATGGTTTATTAATTCATTTTCACATTGTTTTTTTCCTTTCTTTCTAAAAATAGTTTATAGATTGCAATACCAGTGTCATTTATTAAAAAATAAATCTGAACTACATATTTATCATATATTAATCACTTATATGTAAGTGAATTTGTTTTGGTGAGTATCTCTTCTTTTTCATTCATTTCTTTGTAAATGTTGGCTCCAACCCCACACTCTTAAACTATAGTCACTTTATAATGTATTTTATCATATAATAGTAAAAGTCTTCCCACATTATTTTGCTTTTTAAAATATCTTCTTGACCATTCTTTTGGATGAAATTTAGAACTATTTTGTCAAACTTCAAGGAAGCTCCTTTGGGAGACAACCTGCAGAATGGGAGAAAATACTTGCAAACTATTCATCTGACAAAGAATCAATATCTAAAATATGCAAGGAACTCAAACAACTCAACAGCAAAAAACAAATAATCATATTTAAAAATGGGCAAATGATCTGAATAGACATTTCTCAAAAAAGACTACAAATGGCCAACGTATATATGAAAAACTTCTCAGCATCACTAATCATCAGGGAAATGCAAATCAAAATTACAATGAGATATCACCTCACTACAGTTAGAATGGCTATTATTAAAAAAAAAGACAAAAAATAACAAATGCTGGCAAGGAGGTAGAGAAAGGGGGACCCTCCTACATTGTTCATGAGACTGTAAATTAGTGCAACCACTGTGGAAAACAGTGTGGAGGTTCCTTAAACAACTAAAAATAGAACTACAGTGTGATTCAGCAATCCCACTACTAGGCATTCATCCAAAGGAAAGGAAGTCAGTATGTCAAAGAGACATCTGCACCCCCACGTCTATTGCAGCGCTACTCACAATAGCCAAGATGTGGGATCAACCCAAGTGTCAGTCACCAAACAAATGTACAAAGAAAATGTGGCACATATACACAACGAAATACTATTTAGCAATAAAAAAGAACAAACTCCTATCATTTGTAGCAGCATAAATGAGCCTGGAAGACATTAGTTAAGTGAAATAAGCCAGACACATAAAGATAAATACCTCATTTTCTCACTCATGCATGAGAGCTAAAGAAGTTGATATCATAGAAGTAGAGAGTAGAATAGTGGTTACTAGAAACTGGGAAGGGGAGAGGAGAGGGGGGATACGGAGAGATTGGTCAACAGGTACAAAATTACAATGACAGGAGGAATAAGTTCTAGGGTCTATAGCACTGCTGGGTGACTACAACTAATAACTTATTGTACATTTTCACATAGCTAGAAGAGAGGATTTCAAATATGCCCAACACACACAAAAAATGATAAATATTTGAGGTGATGAATACGCTGATGACCCTGATTTGATCATTACACATTGTATACACGTGCCTAATTATCACACTGCACTCCGTAAATAAATAAATAAATCGATAAATAAATAAATAAGCTCCTTTGGGTTATTACTTGGAATAAACATTATTTTTTTAAATTTGAATTTTATTATACTTAATATTTGATGTAATTAAGGATAGAATAGATTTTTTTTCCCCATTTTTCAAAATGGTAATTGCTGGCATAAAGAAAAGCTACTTATTTTTGCATTTGTATTTTCCAACAGGACACCCGTTGAACGTATCATCAATGTAACTCACTGATATGGGTGAAAATCAGGCTCTTTGCTGTGTGGCTGCTTTGAAAACAGGACAAAACTGTGTTCCAGATCTAGCAATGGCAGGCTTCAGTGGAGCTCTGGTTTATGAATCTTCTCTATTAACTAATTCAGTCATGTGCTTGTTCTTTCGTTCACCTTTTCACTCAACAACTATTTATTGGCTCCCTACAGTCTGGGGACTACACCTGACAGTAAAAGGTGACAGCCTGGAAAAACTGGCTAAT